ATCGACATTTTATCGAATCACTAAAAACATTATCGTAACTTGTTTCAATAATTAAAGTAGCTTACGATGCTATAAAACTAAAATTTTTTATTAGCATATACCATTAATTTTCAAAGATAATAACATACATTCATCTTATTCATGAAGAACAAGAAGGCAACAGATAATTTATTCATCAACTACAATGATAGATTTAATTAGTTTACGATAACAATGCAGATTGACATTCACCTTTTGAGATGATTATAGTCAACTCATTCTGTACTCAGAAATCACATGATATTCATTTATAAATACAATCCTTAATTTGTAATTTATTCCTTCGATGAATAGAATTATAAACATGTAACTGTCTTTACCGAATAGTCAATACTGTCAATAAATTCAGAAGTCCATTAACATGATATATTGTCTAAAATTTTTTTAGTTACTTAAGGGAAGTGCAAGATAGTTTATTATGATTTTGGGGCGTTTTTAATTTATGTACAAGCCATACTAGACCTCGTTAATATAACTATAGAATTACATCATTGAAAAAAGTGGCCAAATACCGTATGATAAATTTTTTCACGTCGGATAGAATGAGTAGTGACTAAGTTACTTTTCGTTAGCGAGCAATATTAAAAATTTTGATAAGCCGTCTTGTATTAATAATTCACGTTTACTTTATTGGCATCAGGAAAGCTTGGTAAAATCGAATAAAGAGCTCAATTTATTGAGTAAAATTCCTGTATGTTTTATTGGACACTAAAGCTTGGCGCTACTGTAAATTAAAAGCACGTTACTTTTCGATAATGCCGTTTCTTACAGAATTCACGACAGAGTAAGCGTTCAAGTACTCTTCAGACTAGTGAGTTAAGGAACGCCTAGAGATAGAATTACTGAACAGGTAGTAAATTAAAGAACTCCAACGTAATGACACCTTGCTTGTAAAAACAGATTTAACACCACGCCTAATTTTCAATTAATTGAAGTAGTTTATATGCTTCACTTTCTGCTAATTTGGGGTGGTATTACTTCGGTGGTCTTATTACAGTAACAAGATTGATTAACTATTTGAGGAGAAGCGTTTCATTTTACGACTTAGGCCAGAATATAGCCCACTTTGTGGCTGTAATAGATTGCAACAAATATATTTAAGAACTAAAGATAGGAGCTTGGACTTCAGTTCACTTTGAGACAGGATAGCTTGCACAAGATTCTTGTTGCTATTAATACTCTACTATTCCAAAAATCTAGGAAAGTCTTCTCAAATTCTATCTCGAGACTATAAACTAAGAGGATTTTAATTTTTTAGACTGGATAGAATAGTTTGGGGGCATTTATTACTGTATAATTTTATAGATATTCATTTTAGTAAAGTTATAAATAATCTACTAAGTCATAATCGCATTACATAACGCTGTTATACATAAAAATTTAATGTAGCCGTAAATAGTTTTTATTTTACCTTCGAATTTTTTTTTGCAAGGATAAGGACACTTCAAACGTTACGATATGTTCGAATTTTAAGATATATTCGTGGAGGTCTATTCTCTTATATAGCATCTTAGAATATATAATACGTCAGCGAAAACTGCGCGACAATTCCCTAAAGATTTAATAATTTGTTATTCTCAATAATATGCTTCAAGGAAACTGCGGGAGCTTTGCTCCTATTTATCATCTTTGTGTTGTCATTATTTGGAAGGGATGTAAAGACCCTTAGGGATTTCAGTAAATAACAAAATGAACACTACAATTCATGTTAGAACTCCATATGCAAGGTCGATTTGAAAGATTTGTTACCACTGAAAGAAGTACTAAGCTTAAAATATTATAGGATTTGTATACAGTGTTATTGAGATTTGAACTTCTGTATAACTGAAGATATTAAACGGTACTTATAAATACTCTGCTTCGATCTTTTAAGGGATGAGTAAAGGTAATATCCTTACGAAAGGTCACACATCTTGAATTACATAGAAAGATTAGAAGAAAGGGAGTCTTTTACTTTGTATTTTAGAGTTCTACTATCATAAATCTTAGTTACTATTACACTAATACAGACAACATTAAGAACGTAAACTATCGTCTATATTCTAGCCTATGTTACCTTCTTCTGTGTGACAAATATAGCCTTAGGCAATTCCCTTACCTTAATCTCATATCGTCTTTTTATAACATTCTACTATAGATTCACTATCTGATTCTAATAAATGATGAATATGTATCTCATACAAGAGAATTAGATAGAACAGAATATTACTTTTGCTGCTATAAATTTATTTTGCAAGGATAAGAGCTTTTCAAACGTAGCGATATGTTCAAATTTTAAGATTTATTCGAGGAGGTCTACTCTGCAGTATAATATCTCAGAATATATAATACGCCAGTAAATACTGCGCAACAATTCTCTAAGGATTTAATAATTTGTGACCCCTAATTAAATGCCTTAATGGAACTATAAGAGCTGTGCTACTATTTAGGCAGCCATTCACTAAGGATTCAATAGTTTGTTATTTCCATTTGAACGCTTAAATGGAACTACAAGAGTTCTACTCCTACTTACGCAACAATTCCCTAAGGATACAATAATCCATTAGTCCCAATTATATGCCTGAATGGAATTGCGGGAGCTTTGCTCCTATTTATCATCTTTGCGTCGCCATTATTTGGAAGGAATGTAAGAATACTTAGGGATTTTAGTAAATAACAAGTGAATTCTATGACTCATATATAAAGTTTGCATGCAAAGTCGATTTGAAAGATTTGTTACCACTGAAAGAAGTACTAAGCTTAAAATATTATAGGATTTGTATACAGTGTTATACAAATTTGAACTACTGTATAATTGAAGATATTAAACGGTACTTATAAATACTCTGCCTCGATCTTTTAAGGGATGAGTAAAGGTAATATCCTTACGAAAGGTCACACATCTTGAATTACATAGAAAGATTAGAAGAAAGGGAGAGTCTTTTACTTAGTAGTTGAGAGTTCTACTATCATAAATCTTAGTTACTATTACACTAATACAGATAACATTAAGAACGTAAACTATCGTCTATATTCTAGCCTATGTTACCTTCTTCTGTGTGACAAATATAGCCTTAGGCAATTCCCTTACCTTAATCTCATATCGTCTTTTTATAACATTCTACTATAGATTCACTATCTGATTCTAAAAAATGATGAATATGTATCTCATACAAGAGAATTAGATAGAGCGGAATACTACTGTTACTATTAGTATCTAATAAAAATGAACTGCCGTTACTTTCTACTAAGTAAATAATAAATTAGTTAATGCCGTTGAAACCCTATTAAAATGCGATCTTATTACTCAGCTAATCGCCGATTGCGCTAGTTGCCTTTATTCCGAGCCAATTATTCCTTGGTTACTAGAATCTCATCATACCATCTTCGCTGACGGCATGTTTCTAAACCTAGACTATTAGTTTCATTCAACGTCAAGCCATCCAATAGTTTTATCCTGTATTATTTATGCTTAATTTTAACATCCTTAGCTGTATCTAGTTTATCTCAGTCTATTAATAGGCGTAATTTCCTACGGAACCTAGCATTAAGTTATGAAGATTATAATGAATATATAAATTACTAATGTGTTTGATATTTATTGTGATGGAATTAAAATCTTGTATAATGATAATTGTCTACATTATATCACAGATGATTTGCTTTAAATAAATGGTTCCTTTAATAAAGGCTGCTGTATCAAACTTATATTACTATAAGGCATGACGTTATTAGTTATTGTCACAACCGAGATTGTAACACAAGAATTAAACGGGATTCTTTCCTCTAAAGTAGACTTAACTATCTAAGCAACTAACTCTAAGCACTCTTTAATCAACCAAACTTAGATTCGAGTCTTAGACGATAGATTACTCACGTTAAGGCACTTTGTTTCAAACGCTTAGTGGGTAATTGATTTCGTCTAGACCTTGCTGTAGTAGATCATGTACATGCATTGAGTTATACCAAATCACTATTCTCAGCTTGCCGCTTAATGTTATGAATTTACTGATGTCAACTTTTATTATCCTATTAAAAGAGCACTATTCTGACGTACCTTCCAACGTGAAGTACGCTTATAACGAGTACTTATTATAGGCATAATTTTAAGCTGCAGTTTTTGTTTCAAAGACAAGGGAATCTATTACAGTCTTTGCGAAGAAATTACAAATGAATTATTGCTAATTTTGCAAGTGAATCGGCTTTGAACCTAAATTAAATTGCGATTAGGATATTAATTAAGCCATTTGAAGATCAGAGATAAGTTTCTATACCTAACGATACGTACATTCAATATGCCTGGTGGTAAACAGCAATTTTAACCGACATAAACAAAAATAATTGGGCCTTGATTATGTATTTAGTACAAGATCGATGGTGATATGATGATCATTATAGCGATTCCAATTGCTCAACCTGAGATAGAAACATGATACCTAAGATTATTAATTCCGCACTCATATATTCTATAATAGTAAACAATATACTTTTCAAGGTAAATGAAATAATTATTATAAATAATCAGTTACTACAGAATTTTAATTTACAATTGTAGCATATGCTATTTTTGGTTAGTCGATGCAACTTGGAATTAAATATTAACCATTTTATCTGCATCTTCATCAATGTTAATATCGATATCTTATTCTTTATATTATCTTGGTAACATGAATTAAGGTTCACTTAGATAATAATTAATAGATTTGCTTACATTTATATAAAATTGAGATTTTATGACTGAAGATAATATTTAATAGTAATGCAGAGTCAGTACTAGCGGTTTCCCGTTGACAATAAGAAATTATCAAAATTTAGAGTCCAAGTTATTACAGTCGAGAAATTAAAGAGATCAAATTCAGTTACACGTTCGTTATTTTTAATCTCTGTAAGTTTCAATCTATAACATTAGTAAAATACATTATTTCAATATTGGCCGTAAATGTAACATCGTAAATTAGAGACTTTTATATAGCAGAGGATAATTAATACGGCTTTGATGGTAATGGACATGAATTGTAATTTTTTATCAAATGCATACACTCTTTAGATGGTTTTCCAATGCAATGAATTAGTTTTTCCTGGCAATAATTCTTAATTTGCCTATCAGCACCTGCTTGAAGAAAAAGTTGTATCCAAGCTACATTTCCAGATCTAGCTGCAATGAATAATGCTGTGTCTCCAGGATGAATATTGCATCTATGACGAGCATTTACATCATAATTTTGACTAAGAAACATCAAATTTTCAAGCAGTGTATAGCTGATTTTATCGAGTCGTGTCTGTAATTGGCTATCCATCAAGATGGCTTTTCTCCAATCGCAATGCATAATGCGCAATATTATTTGGGGTAAAATTTTATTAAGAGCTTGTTTTGTGGTCTGACAAATAGGTAGATCTGCAATTTCTTTTGCAAAAGTATAAAATTGTAACGTTTCAATTATTGCATTAACGTCAAAATTTGCATTACTTAATTGCCATAGAAACTGATGTAGTAGTTTGTACTTGCTATTACTTGCAATAACAAAGTAGTTTGGTATTTCGATGAAAGAACCCAAATATTGACATGAATATTCTGTTACCTCATCTATAACCTCCAATAATGGAGCGCCATTGGTAATTAATACTCGAATGCAATGACCTTGCCTGAATGCTGCTGCATGTAATATTAACTCTTTCCCATAATTAGCAATCACATTCTTTCTTGTGGAGACAATTTGTCGTAATAATTCTTGCTCATCATTGACTGAATTCATACGTAATTGTAATAATTTTGGCAAGTCTGATAATAATAGTAAGGCTATGCGACTATTTTGAGAAGTGATTGCACTCTGACAGGCTTCGTAAAATATGTTCTCATCATTTAAATCTGATAAAATGATTTGCAATACATCTTTGTGACTACTAGCAGTAAAATATTTCTCATCTGCAAATATATTAAATACAACAGCTTTATAACAATCGAAATCGTGTTCTCGTATAATTTCCAACACTTTGAATTCAATATCTGCTAATGCAACTCCGACAAAATCAGCTATACAATTACCAATTAAAACGTTCTTTTTCAATTTGTAAATGTAGCGAGCAACATCTTCGCGACCTATTAATATGGAAAATGATAAAGCTGTCATATAATAATCATCGAATGTATCAAGATCGACCTGACTATCCCTTGTTAGTCTATTCAATTCATGGAGATCACCTTGAAAAACAGCTTGATAGTAAGAAGGTAAACTTAAAGACTTTAAAAACACCTTTAACAGGTAAGCTTCATCACGTATGCTTACCAATACTTTGCAAATAATACCTCGCAAAGCAACTAAAGCAGCTATCTGGACTGGTGAATCAATACTAAGATTATTATCAATTTGTAATACATATTGTGGATCTGGTGATTGATAACGAATTCCTAATTTAATGAGTGTTTTAACCATTTCAACATTATTTTCATACGTAGCGAAGCCTAATGGGCAAAATGACCAATCGTATATTACCCAATCTTTGATACTGATATTGCTTTCTGTTAATTTAGCTCCTTGCTGGCACAATTTGGTAGCCCAAACTTCGTAGCCATGTTTAGATGCAGCACATAAATAACAGTACAAACGAAGTGATCGATCAGGATCATCCATTATCGAGGTATTGTGCAGTAGTGCATATTCATTTAGATAATGACCATACGAGTAATTTTTTTCAATAAAATATGAGTTTCTTACATGATGATCGGCATTTTTAGCTCTGTTGTTGAATTCTTTGACTAATGGCGGTATTACCAAAGCAGTTACATATCGGTATAATCCTAAATATGCTCGTTTGTAAAAGTCTTTATGGGTTTCATGGATTAACATAAGTGGACTAGTCGTTAATTCAGCATGGATTGTCTGCTTCCATGTAACTTCGTCATGAGCTATAAAATGATTTAACCAACGACAAACCATGCATAATCTGGCTAAATCGACTCCATGAAGAAAGCGAAATAAGTAAACGATCAATTCGTTGGGTAAGGTAAATATTGAAAAGTAAGATAGGGTATGTTCATCTGCCATTTTAGTTCAATTACAAAGAAGTTACTCTATTAATTAATATGTATTTATAAATTGAAGATTTATTAGGATTGCAAATAAGTTTAGCGCCAAAAGTTTGATAAAGGTTGATCATACGAAACAGAGTAAAGCCTGTATACTACCATTTTATGTAGAACACTATTGCCAGAACTTTAAAACATAATAGGTTCTATTTTGCATTAAGCCTGAGAAAGCTCTGTGATGGCTTTCTATCGAGGAGAGGAGCCTCGTTAGTTTGATACCTATGTTATTCTTAGATAGTATTACATATTAAAATACATCTTAATAGAGCTACATAACATCTTGATCCATATGGATAGGCCGCATTATTTAATTATCATATTTTTATGTACGAATATAAATAATATGCACATTAATTACCTGTACACTGGCTGTAAGGATATATTCCTTGACTTTTCTATTCTATATAGTATATACTGTACAGCATAAAGGGTTTGAGGTAAAAAAATAAAACTTTCTAGTGCCAATGAATTTTGCAGATATTCTTTCTATTAAAATATTCACGTACGCTTATCTCAAATTTGCAGTTTTTCCTTAAGTTTCTATATGAGATTTTATAGTTGTAGTGCTTTGATCCGATGTTGTCTGTTCTAAAGTTAAAAATTTAGACTTTTACACAAATATACTTTGATTCTAAATTGTCTGTTTTCAAATTGCTATAATCTGATATTTTCTTTCTTGGGCGATAGTGAGAGTTTCTAATTCGTACTATAGATAAGTCTGAATTTAATAAGTAAGTTATGTGACTCTTTCGAGAAAAGATTACAGCCCAATAAACACAATATATAAAGAATACCTTGATTCACTCAGCTAAAACGGATGTTAGCTGTTATCATACCTATTAGCAGCATAAAAATTGCATCAGTAAATGCTCCATGTTTACAACTTTGCAACATTCATAATCATGTTCTGGTAAAAATTTTAAAATGCAGCGACATTCTATTGACTTTTATTAGATGAAATTCTCAAGGATTAAACTAAACGTTGAACAGCAAATGCTAATATTTAATATAGATGTAGTGAATAATTTATCGTAATGCCAAATATTATAGGCATCATATCATAACTATCCACGGCATTGAATATCTACACACTGCAAGTCTGGTAAATTAGTCAATATCGTTACGGGCTACAGCTTGATAGATTAAAGATCAACTACAGTAATTTATAAATGTCTGTATTTTTAAGTAAAGATCACAATAGATGCATGTGTTACTTTGCTAATATCTTTTTGCAGTTGAGTGAAGAGATATTACTGTAAAGCTAGCGTTGTAAGCATTTATTGCCGTTGTGTCTTTTAATTTTGAGGCTGATAGCGAAATACTATTTCGAATAGGCACGGTATGAAATGAGTTTTTAATTTTTAAGGCTATCTCCTGACTTAGAATGTCATTGAATGATTCATATGTATTATCATTCTAAGAAAGGTATAATCACTTTATATTTGTGACACTAAATTGATATACATAAATTTTATCATATGCAACAGGTCCAAGAAGAAAAAAACGAAGATTACTTGCGGACATTGATCAATCATCCAAAGTCGAATCATCAGGCGGGGACACCACACCCCTATGCCATCTACCGACTGTTTCCTAAACATATAACAGTTATGATATATCCAGGATCTAAACTTCAAATTGATCTTATAATAAAGTAATGGAATTAACGACTTACCTGACTCAGTTAGATTCTTACACAGAATACAAAAAGAAAACCACAACCTTCTTACAATTTAAAAACTCTATTAAAGAAGTCCAATATCGGAATGGGAACTGTGCCGTTCCTCAACTTAATCAATTCCCGAATGAACTAAAATTTTTATCTACTTACATGTACTCAAGGTGCTATCCAGGACCTAAGTACAATGCTTTACAGAATAATATACTAATTCAACAGAATTATTATGGTATATAGTGGTTGTTATTTATTTCATTAATATTATTAATGCACCATTTAATAATGATGCAATACATTAGATTGCACCGTAGTAGTGCTAAACAACCTAGTTGCTATTAAATCTATGCCCTGTATAATTGTAGCTTAATATAAATAAATAAATTAAATTAAATTATAATTGTAAGAATATGCTATATCGTATGAAACTGGTTGTATCACCTATCCCTGGCCAGATATAGCCGCGAGTTTATCTTTTTAGATCATTAGACAATTTATTACGATCCTTACGATTTACTCTAGGCAATTCTAATAATTGCCAAATAGAGTTTAACAACAGGCAATGGAATACAATGTAATATTACTTAATTTAGAAAAAAATCAGTCAATTCAGAATCGGCTGTCGACACATTAAAGTACTTTCATAATAAAGTGATTCGGATGCAATTTATAGGCGATATTAGGCTAAATGTCTGTCCACCCAAACGACAAGCTCAGCTGTTATTCTATTTCGTACACTTTATTAATTAATATTTTGACAGATTAAAGTGGATTAAAAACTGTCATCAAATTGCTTATTAAAGAGCAAGTAATGTACAAGATAGCTAGATAGAGAAACAGTTCTAACAGATCAGCATTCATATTATGTTGAACTAAAGCTTCAATAATTGAGTAGCATCAGCTGATATATTAATTAATTGGAACAACTACAATAAAATAAGAAGACAGTGGTATAGATATCTTTAATTGAACGCAGGGAGAGAGTATATTTGTAGGATTAAATACAGCATAGATGAAAATAGTTTGGAGTAATAGCAAAAGAAGGATCAGATACAGCATGATCTTCAAAACGATTAATACTATCCGCTATTAGCTGATTCGACATACTTGTAGATATTAATTATCCGAAGTAACTTGTCTCGTAATAATTTGGATAAAATAGATTTTTCCTTAGTCGATCAAACGAGACCCTTTACCAATTGTTCAATATTTATAACTGCTGAGTTTTACTGCTATTAGTACAGCTTTAGTGGCAAATCAGGATAGATCATTTTGTTAGTAAACCTATTCTTCATATTTCTATAAATCTGGTCGAAAACAATAATGAATAATTATATCGTAGAAAGAATGATTAGACGAAACGGAAATGTTACTCTTGCCACCAGAGCCCAATTTAAAATGAACCCATCCGGACACTCTCTGCTCGGCCAAGAGACAAAAACAATCAAAGCTAGCTTACTGAACAGCATGACGAAATAGATTGCCGAAACTTTATAAAACTCCACAATTAATGCTTTATAGCTAAACTATGTTCAGTTTGACTAGACCGAACGTTTATATCCGTCTAGACTGTGAACGATAATTGTGACTCTGAATATTATTACGCACATGTTAATCTAATGTTTAACTCTCAAGTATAGGATAATGCTATATCGATTACGATTCGATATATTTTATTCTAATTTGGAGTATAAATTTAGATATAGAATATGTCAATATAACTTATTTAAACATTTTCTTACCCAAATATAGATTAATATCGGTATTTAACATCAATATTGAATAGCTTTCCATATTAACATTTAAATCATATTAACACATAAATCAAATAGGCAAAGTCACTTGCATAGTCACAGCACAGCCACCAAATATAAGTCGAAAATAATATAGTTAAGTAAACTAATTAAATATTCATTTAATTAAGCTATCTTTGAGATAAGTATACCTTAAACAGCAGATTCGATCATTATAGGGTAAACATATGAATAACAACAATAAATAAATATCCAAGACATTGCATACTTCCAGTATCGGTAGCAAAGGTAATATACATTATGTCTACATTCAAATGATTCAATTACTAGCCTGATTTTTCAGATACATGGTCCTTAATTTACTTATTTTGACCTGTTTGTAGTACAAAGTATTATATGGAACTTTAGCTAGATTTTCAAATCTGGTTCCAAATCTCTAACAAACACTGTATCGTCTTGCAGCTATTAGAATAGCTATGAAGAACATTGATAATCATTTTAATCTAAGTGAAAATAGTAATACATACTGTCAATAGCAGTAAAAAGAATTTTCATAGACAAATATATCATATATACGACTTCAGTGCATTCGTAATCACGTACTAGTGACATTTTTAGCAAGCTATACTTCATACCGCTTACTAAAGCCCTGATGGAACCAGATAATGATGATCAGAAAAACGTTAACGCTCAAATTGTAGATGTAACAGATATTTCATCTCAATTTAGTATTATGCTATTTGGTAAAATATTTACTACAGTAACATATTGGTATTAACGTGGGTATATCTATATCGTATTATGAATCTAGTGAATAAATCAATGTCTTTATTTGTTGCAACTTAATAGATTACAGATAATCTCTTGAATTTTATATATGTCTACAATAAATGCTGATCACGAATTATTGCATATGTTATTATTTTGCTGATAATATCTTTTATAATAGAATATAGAGAGTAAGTTGTAAGACCAATACGATAAGTAATCGTAGAGCTATATTCGTATATCGTAGTTTTTTAAATTATTAAGGAATTCCCATTTCGATTAGATTTTTATTGCAACATCATTTTCAATTAGTGCAAAAGGCAATCGACGATTAGATTAATTAAGGAGACTTCTTCGTTAATGGTACTATGTTTAGTTATAGGAATGCCAATACTAAAGATTTCTATAATTGATTCAGCTTTTGTTGGAGTAGATCATCGGCCCAAATTTCAAAGCCATAGTTAGCTGTAGAATGTAAAATACCGTACCTTAAATCGATTTATAGATTGTAATAAGGTATCATTTAGGTAGATCTTTACTTTATTTGTTCCTTCAGGGAATGGCTGCATTAGGGATTTTTCTTAATTGTATAGAAGCAACGAAAGTAAAGAGGATAATTTTCTTCAAAGCTTTGAAAATCATTAGTTTATGATTGCTTACACAGTTTAATTTAAGATCCGCGTTTTCCTAAATAATCTTCGTAGTAAAATTTTAAATTGCTTGATTATCTTCCAGTCAATCTAGCAAAGCTCTATTAATTCAGGATGGATAACCGATCAAGTTATAAATACCGTTTGCTTAATGACTGCTTCTACAAAAATCATTTATTTAATAGTTTCTACTTTGATGGTAGTGAACATGATTGATAATTTTCTAACAAGGATGCACACTCCCACGTCCATTTGACAACGTGATAAACTGGTATATCCGCTAAGAGATTTTTAATTTGCCCTTCTGTTTTCAATAGCTGCCGCCCTCGACTAAATTTTTTAGTGTAGTAGACTGGCTTCCTTAACGCAAGGTCCTCTATTTGTCTGTCTGCACCTGCTTGCAATAACAATTGTACCCAAGCCGGATTTCCAAGTCGAGCTGCAGCATGTAGTAAAGTTCCTTGCTTGAAACTAGACATTCTAGTACGTGCGTTGATTTCATTATGGTTTTTATTAAGAGCCAGAAGCTTCTCTAACAGTGCACAGCTAATTTCGGTCAGTCTATTTTGTAGTTTATGATCATTAAAAATTGGACGTTTCCAGTCACTATACATTGTGTGTAGCATTATTTCCGTTATAAAGTTACCGACAGTAATATTTGGGGTCAGAAACTTGGGCAGATCTGCAATTGCTTTCGCCAATTTATAAGGCAGTAGTGTTTCAGCGATAGCATTAGGATCAAAATCTTGGTTACACAACTGGACTTGAAATTGATGGAACTCCCTATATTCGATATTACTTGCAAATATCGAAGGCCTTGGTAAGGCTATAAACGCAGATAAAATATTCTCCAGTGCATACCACAAATTATCACCGATCACAGATAACTCAACACCTTCTTGAATCAATTGCCGAATACAGCTATCTTTTCCATATCTTATTGCTTTATGAAGCAACTCTATACCATGACTGGCAATAACTTCATTTCTTGTACATGTAATTTGTGTCAATAAATGTTGGCTACAGGCGATAGAACTCATATGGAATTGCACCAATATAGGTAAATCCGATGTTAATAAATAAATTGCACGACTATTACGAGAGCAGATTGCACCCCGACAAGCGGCATGAAACACATCTTTATCAATTAAATCAGCTAAAATCAATGGTAATGCATCATTTTGGCTATTGATGGTAAATATTTCTTCATCCTTAAATATTTCAGAAACAATAAAATGATAACATTCACGATCCTGTTCTCTTATAACTTTTACGGCCTTATATTCAACACTATTTAATACATTTCTGATGGGATCTGCCAAACGATGACCAACGATGATACTTGACTTAAAGCTGTAGATATAGTCGATAATATCTTCTCGGCTTAGTAATATACAATACATTAAAGGTGTCATGTAGTAATTATCTGAGATATTGAGATTGATATGTCCACCACTTTCGACATATCTTTTAAATTCATCAATATTTTTATAGATTGCTGCTTGGTGAATAGGAGGTAAAGCCAAAGAATTCAAAAATACTTTTAATAAGTGAGGATCATGACGTAAGCATGTTACTACTTTGCAAATAATATGAGTAGTAATGATTTGCCCTCCTGAATCGTGTAATAGTCTACAAGAATATTCTCCTAAAGTGCCATCGTCTGATTGTTTTATATACCGTGGATTTGGGGAATGATAACGAATTCCTAATTCGATGAGTTCCTTAATCATCGAATCATTATTTTCAAGTATAGCTAGAAAGAGTGGACAGATAAAGTAATATTCACAATTTTGAGTTGCTACTGAATGAGTAGAGTGAATACCACTTGCTTTAACTGCTTGTTGGCATAGCTTTTTAGCCCAAATTTCGAAGCCATGTTTGGCTGCCAAGCCTAAGTAAGAGCATAAACGATGTCGTCGATCATAATCGTTCATGTCTGCGATCGATGCATCTTGCCGTATTTCTTCTTCTTCCTTTAAGTACTGGCCATAGGAGTAATTTTTCTCGATGTAATGTGAAACTGTTGCATAACCATCATACTGACTAGTAAAGCCCCAAGTTTGTTGATCATGTTTTGTAAGACAATCAGTGACGTGCCGATATATTCCTAGATAGGCTCTCTTATAAAAGTCTTGATAATGTTCATGGCTCAACAACTCTGGATTGGTAGTTAATTCAGAATAGATTGTCTTTTTCCACGCCAGTTGATCTTGGCCTAGTATAAAATCATTGAACTGATAGGAAACTAAGCGAAGTTTGGCTAGTTCAACACCATAGAGGAAGCTAACGATTTTATAAATCAATTCGCTAGGCAAAGTAAAGAATAGAAAAGAAGAATCTGAATTGAATTGATCAGCCATGTTATCTGTTAAGGAACCTAATGATAATTGTTCACCATTACGAGGAACTTTCTTTGAAAATTATTTCGTAAAAAAATAACATGACAAAAGATCATGAAAGTCGACCTAGTTTATCTTAAAACGACTAAGTGCAGTCTCAATGTTATGCTGATAATTAGACGATAATTTGAATGGTTATTTTATATGTTTTCTTACAATTTTAATAAGTAATATTCATGCCGAATAAAATAGGATGGAAACGACCGAAAAATATCCAAGTGGATCCAGTTTAGCCAAGAGGGAGTAAGTTACCTTCACTGTTCAATTCGATCGTAACCAGTAAACAACGATCGCTGTAAACATTTCATTTATTTATACGAGTCTTTCTTCCTATAACGATGCCTTGCCTTCTCATTCATACATGGATAATTTTACATTAACTCTGTCTAATTCCTTTTGTAGAATAGCACTATATATCTTATGTTATTTAGATTGAAGACGTTATATTACAAATAGAATCATCGTTCAATGCAATACGTCACCTTCTTTGGCAATAAAGGAATCATTGTTCGATCAAACTGGGGCCTGTTGTTTTTTTCTTGATCAAGCTAATCTCTTCGGTTCTACTAGTAGAGTGTTACAAGCATATGCCACCTAATTTGGCAATAAAGGAATCATTGTTCGATCAAACTGGGGCCTGTTGTTTTTTTCTTGATCAAGCTAGTCCCTTCGGTTCTACTAGTAGGGTGTTACAAGCAGTGATTCTTGAAACTTTAGTATCCCAAATCGATCATATACTGTATATCAAACGTTTTATAGGAGCGTATTGATCCAAGGGTTCGTGTTTGAAGATATAGTTCTCTAAAATACAGTTATATATATTATATATATATATGTATATATATATATATATAATATAAATATATATATATATATATAACGGACACTATGTATGAAACACAGTACTAAGATTAATATACAGTTCCATTCAATATCGAAGTTATTGATGTTCTGTTTGTCAGGCCCTTCACAAAAACATTCAGATAGCAAAAGATTTAAAGCACTATAGAATTATCTATTGACTATGAAAAGACAATTATTGTTCAGGATAAATATTTATAAAAATTGGCAGTATGAGCTGGCAAGGCTATAAATGACATGGGTAGTATAACTATTTATGAAAATTGGAAGTACTGTATATGCTAGCAAGGTGATAATTGATATAGACAGTGTAAATGCTTGTAAAAATTGGTAGTATATGCTAGCAAGGCTATAATTGATATAGGCAATATAAATGCTTATGAAAATTGATAGTATATACAAGTAAGGCTATAATTAATATAAGCAATATAAATGCTTATGAAAATTGATAGTATATACTAGCAAGGCTATAATTGATATGAGCAGCATAAATACTTATGAAAATTGGCCGTATATACTAGAAAGGTTATAATTGATATAGGCAGTATAAATGTTTATAAAAATTTGCAGCATACGCATATACTAGCAAGGCTATAATTGACATAGAAATTATAAGTATTTTTGAAAATTGGCAGTAAATACTACCAAGGCTATAATTGATAGGAGCGGTATAAGTGTCAATCAAAAATTGGTAATATTTGCTAGCAAGGCTATAAATTGATATAAGTACTATAGTATAAATGTTTATGAAAAATGAGGTAATTTGCCTGTAAAGACATTAGTAGTCTGCTAGTTACTTTATATTGATCGTCGGCAGTTTCCAAAATAGCAAATAGTACTATATCGTGTTGATGAAAATTAACAGTAATGCAGTTGTTGTAATATGGATATAGGCAGCATAATTGTTGATTCAAAAATTTGGATAAAGGACCTCTATAGCAATCGGCAGTCAGCCAGTTACGTTATAGTGATTGTTATACTTTCCGAAGTGGCAAATGTCGTTGTATATTTTTTTGTATAGTTGACGTGACTAGAGATGAAAATCGAATAAAGGGCCAGTACAGGATCAGTTTTATTGATTAGTTACCGTATATAACTTTGTACCTATCTAGAAAGCATGTATAGTAAGATAGCTGCAAATTTTCTTTTAATGGATTGCTTTGTATAGAATATGTTCCCGTTCATTTGAACGGGTGATTTACTAGTATTACAATTCAGAACGGATTACATATGTCCATACACGCTAATATGGAGCCAAAATGAAATGATTAAAACTGCAAAGAAGCCATACAAAATCTGGCTAAGTCAGTTCCGTGAATAAACTTAAATGTGTGATAAATTAGTGCGTTGGGTAAGCTAAAGAATGATAAGTATGACAAATCCAATTTATCACCCATCTTGATTGTAAAAAATGTAATTCTATCAGTTAAAATAATTAATAACAAGATTTATTTCGCAATCTCGATATTATAATGACAACTAGGAATGGACCCTAACATCAATTTTTTTTAATTTCGTCAATTTTTATTCTCTGTTATCTATTAGTGAATTAGTTAATGGTATTCTTTTAGAATTGAATAGGACGAGTGAAGATTACTAAAGTTGATCCATATTAGACAAGAAGACGTAGATACAGATCTTATTATTATCTAAACAAATACACTGGGGATTTTCTCCTTCCGAGTGTATTTTACTTTTAATAATATTTTGACTATACATTTTACTGAAAAATTTCGTATTTATAATAGATCATTATTTTGATCCAAGATTGATTTAGAAAGTATTAATCTACGACAACTGCTACTAAATAATATCACGTTAAGCGAACTTTAGAATGGAAATTAATCCCTTAGTTCTGTTTACTGTTTATTTAATATCTGAATTACTTTTTCAGTAGTTCGCCTATGACGGTAGTGGGCATAATTGATACGCTTTCAGTAAGTGTCTATATTTCCAGTTAGGAGCCCATTCGCCAGCGTGATCAATTTTTCTGCCTATATTCGCTTAAAATAGCGTTAGATTACTTTGCCATCCATCAGCGTAGTCCTCTGATTTACTCTGGTTACTATCCTCAATTTCTCTATCTGCGCCAGCTTACAATAATAGTCTGATCCGAGCCGAGTTTTGATATCAAGTTGCAAGATGTAATAAAATTTCGTAATGGTGACCATTCTTGTCTATTTGATAAGTATACAAGTATGTGCTAATATGAGCATTGATATAATGACAGCATCTAGTCAGAGTCATTAAATTCTCTAGCAGCGTTCAAATGATTTTATTCAATCTTTCCTGTAGTTGTTGGTCAGTAAAGAGTGGACAACGTAAGCAATTGTTACTCATGACATCTGACATTATTTCAATTATACAATTATCGATGGTTAGATCTGGAGGTAGAGTAATGGGTGAATCAGAAATTTGCGCAACGTAAATTTGAAGGTTGATAAGGAATCCCCAGTTAGAGTTGTTCTTTTAACTATCGTAGTATTCTTTTCAATTGTAACAAAATGTAGAAGGTGGATTGATTAAGATAATCAATGCTATTTACTGGAATTGTGAGGGAACCCGTATAAGGATTTTTTAACGATTTACTCATTAATTGCATAATTTAAACCAAATCTTATAACCATCAGTAGTAGCAAGATGTAAATAATTATATCAAATTGACTAGATGATTGGAAACTGTCAAGTTTCGAAAGATCGAGAGTCTGCTATGGTACCAAGAAATTGCCAAAAAATTAATCGAAGAAAATCGTAATATTTATTCAGTCCGTGTTTAAAGAAACTGTTAGGTTACCCTGTAGATAAATGATCTGATCTAATCGGATAGCTATAATAAATTATGATAGGTAAGCAAATATGCCCACTGAATAGCTATCAGAACTAATTAATAAGTTAGATAATTTAGAATTGCTTTGATAAAGTAGAAAATATAGTAAGAGAGAATTGTTTAAAAATCTAACGGAGTGATTAGAATAGCTTACTTGTATGTGACAGTATGATATAATCAAACTAGAGCACGTATAAATGGAACTCCGCAAAATAAGCTATTAAACGTAGATCATGAAATTATGAAATTTTATAACATTTTGGTAGTAGTTGACTCGTAATAATAATTAAAATAAACTGCAGTGTTCTGTATAGGGCAATGTATACGGTAGAAACAGCTACTATAGTGGCATAATTTCCACTCGTTTGTTTATAATGGTATGTCATTTTATCAATTTTTCTTAGCAGCATAGCTAAGTAATGCAGTTGAAAGCAAATTGGCATCTTTAAAACTGTAAAAATGATTCGTTCTTAATTGTGTGTTCATTGCGATTATAATCGAATAAATCCGTAATACCACATTTCTCTAATAAATATCCTTGTCACATTGTCTTTTCGTTAATCAAGCTTTAGGACGGAATCGATTCATTAGTTAAATTTTTAATTTTCAATATTTCTTTGTTAATCTTTCAGTAGTTCGCCTATGATGGCAGTGGGCATGATTGAAGGTTTCTCAATAAGTGCCTACATTCCCAGTTACGAGCCCATTCACCAGCGTGATGAATTTGCCTGTCTGTATGCACTCGCATTGGTATTTGATGTCTATCCCATTTGTCAGCATGATGCACTGGTTTTATCAGGCCGCTATCCTTAATTTCTCTATCTGCACCAGCTTGCAATAGCAATCTTATCCAAGCCGGGTTTTGATATCGAGCTGCACGATGTAATAGAGTTTCTTGATAAAACACATTCTTACCTATGTTAACACAAATGTTAATATTATGGTAGTCTTTAATAAGATGTATTAGCTTATCCAACAGCACGTAAATGATTTCATCCAATCTTTTCTGTAGTTGATGGTCCTGAAAGAGGGGACAACTCAAGTCTGCATTTTTCATAACTTCAAACATTATTTCAACTATACAATTATCCAACGACACATCTAGAGGCAGAGTAATGGGTAAATCAGAAATTGCTTTGGCTAATTTATAAAGCTGTAATGTTTCAACAGTACTATTAGCATCGAAATCTTCGTTACTCAACCGTAATATAAATTGATGAAAGCGTCTATAGTCGATATTGTTTATAACGGCCGAAATGGGTGATAATTTATATATAACAGTCGAAGGAGTAAGCAAATAATGATCGTACAAAAAAATTTTTATAGATTGCCATAACAAATCGTAATTGTCCACAGATAACCGAATCCCTTCTATAGCCAACTGTAGAATATAAGCATCTTGTCCATATTCTATCGCTCGAAAAAGTAATTCTCTACCATAGTGAGCAATAACTTTTTGTTTTGTGCGTGTAATTCGCTTCAATAAACGTTGAATATCTGTGGCTGACAGCATGCATAACTGTAGTAATTTCGGTAAATCTGACATTAATGAATGAATTGCATGATGGCTTCGAGAAGTGATTGCCCCATAGCAAGCTGTATAAAATACCTCTTTACGAGTTAAGTCAGTTAAAACCAGTTGTTGTATGTCTTTAATACTATTAGAAGTAAAAAAATTTTCATCTTTAAATAATTCAGATATAACAGCTTTGTATAATTTATGTCCGATCATTCACCCGTATAACTTTAAACACTTTAAATTCAATTCTACTTAAAATAGCCTTGCAACACTTACTTAAAATGCTGCTATGAAGGTATTTTTTTTTTAAGCCGTAGATGAAACTCACGATATCATCTCGACCTAAGATTATACAATACATTAAAGGTGTCATTCCGTAAGCATCCGAGTGCTTGAGATTAGCATAACTGTATTTACCATCTTCGAAATATTTCCGAAACTCATCAATACTTTTGAAGATTGCGGCCTGATGAATTGAAGGTAAATCAATAATATTTAAAAATGGCTGTAATAAATGAGAATCATGACGTATGCATGTTAATACTTTGCAAACTTCCATAACATGAAATACACACTCATAAGAATTCGAACGCGCTAAGCACTGTGGATCTAACAAATGATAACGGATTCCTAATTCGATTAGGTTCTTAATCATAGTATCATTATTTTCACGAATAGACATAATTAATGGGCTGATTGTTTGTTTGTGGCAATGCACATTCGCTCCTTGTTGGCATAGTTTATTAGCCCAAATTTCGTAGCCATGTTTAGTTGCTAAAATTAAGTAACAATCTAAGCGATACTGTCTACAACCATGATACAAACGGTACATGGTCGATAAACCTTGTTGCATTTCTTCTTCCTGCGTTGTTTCTTTCTCCTTTAGATATTGACAATAAGAGTATTCTTTCTCAAGAAAAAATGAAGCCTCGTAATCCAAACTTGTAATACGATCTTCTGCAAGCTTAGTAACAACACACCGATATAATCCTAAATAGGCTCTCTTATAAAAGTTGTAATAACTTTCATCGCTCAATAGCGGCTGAGGATTTGTAGTTAATTCGGAATAGATTGCATTTCTCCATGCAAGCTGATCGTCAGATAGTAGAAGATCATTGAACTGGAACGAAACCATGCGAAGTCTAGCAAGGTCGATTCCGTAGAGCAAGCTGAAGATTTTATAAATTAGTTCGTCTGGTAATCTAAAGAATGGAAAGCAATCTTGATCCAAATTATAATCCATCTTATCGGTAAAGAAGCTTAATTGTGTTAGTTAGATATAATAAAGAAGATCCAGGCAGGATTCTTTTAGGGTTGAAGAAACATTAAAAGAATCAAGTCAAACTAGTTCAGCTTTGAAGAACTAATCCAGCTTTGACATGATGTTGATCACTACTAGTACCTTCGGATTAAACACTATTAAACATGACCAGTACAAATAAGAAAATTTGCAAGCATTTGAATTGATCTAGTTTAAACATGAAGAAGTAAGTGTATCCTCTGGGTTGACTTATGTAGATAATTATAGTCAATATGTTAATACTATACTTTTATTTTCTATGTGTATTTTCTTATAACTTATAACTTACGTATGCTATTGTTACGATGCGTAAGCTCGTTCTAATGAAGACCAGTTTTTAATTAGTTAGTCGGTTAGTTAGTCAACTAGTTTGTCTATCGCTATTATATAGTCAAGACTATAATCTTGCTTGTCAAGATTTCTTCAGTAATAAATAGTAGTCAATCTCGGACTACCTCATCTACATTATACTATAGTATTTGGTCGTTGGAACTGAATTATTTGGTGATATAGCTAATCTCGCTTCTTTAAGTCAATAAGAGGCGTTCTTCATAAGCATTGGCGTATGTAGACTACTTTGCCACTCGTGGTGTGTGACAGCTATATCATGAACCACTAAGACTTTAGTAGTTCATGGCTATATGCAGTAGTATATGCCATATCCTGGGATAGAAGTAGGATTTAATATAATAAAATATACTTCCATATTCCTTAGTAGAATACTGTCGTCATATACTATAATAGCTGGCATCTTTATGCTATGACCACTCAATCTTTCAATCAGTGTCCATACTGTAACCTATTATTTCCTTCTAAAGCAAACCTTAACGTATAATTTTCATTACATTCTATTAACTTATTCTTTATTCTTGCATTTAAGCTAAAAAAAAAAGCACGCTATATTGTACTGTACGCATGCTTCTTTGGCTTTAATATTGAAATAAATTATGTGCGAAGACTTGAATAGAATGCTAATGACGATGAGCATGATTACCAATTAATTATAGTAAGGCTGTCTACTGATTCAAACTGTAGGGTATTTGATTGTTTCATATGTATTGTCATGTTAAGGAAGGTATAATTACCTTGTATTTCGAACAGTAAATAGATTCTTGTGAAGTAGCATATCGATTGAGTAAATTGCATTAAGGATCTGATAAAATATATATCAATATCTATTAATGCTATCATCGTATGCAACAGGTTCAAGAAGAACCAAACCAAAACTATCGGTGAATATTGATGTGCCGTTTAGAGTTAAAGTCTCCAGTTATACACTAAACTGTATTCTGATAGATGAGAAAATAAAATAACAATTAGTAAAATGTACAAGTAAGGTATACGATTATAACACGAGTGATGGGAGTCCTAGATATCTTCAGCTGGCGTATTTATTTATCTTCGTCCGGGTACATCTGTTAAAGAAAAAGATTTGAAGTCTGTGTGCATGCTACAGTCCTGTAGTGATGCACTGCATATCTGATTGTAAGGATAGATTTATTGGATATAGTTAGGTTACTAAGAATAGATATTATCGTGACGCTAATATTAGATGACTGTTAACTACTACATCAGAACTTGTTGATGACTAATATTAGCCACTAGACTATTATGCAACAAAATTGATGTGACTGGAGATACTGTAACTATGAAGGTGCCCAACACCGAAATGTGCTGGACATTAATTGTAGAGTAGTGATATCTTAAGTAGAATGATTCGGATTGAAGAAGAGAATGATATTCTATTTGGGGGAAAGTATCCTGTTCGATAACTTAAGTCTAATTGCAGTTAATTATGTTGTCATAAATGAATTTAACGAAATGTGTTTAAACTGACGAGATAAGTTCAAGGAAAAGACTTCGCTTTACTTCGAGCTCGGAATACTTTAGATTTTAGACCAGATTCTTGTAGTAATTAATTCTTGCTCTACTATTTCTAAAACCATGCCATAAAAGCCTTTTAGAAAATACCACATGACTAAGTTAGTTATTTGTGAAACACTTTTATTACAAGTGCATATAGAAATAAAGATACGCGTCTAACATGCTTAATTAAATCAGGCTCGCTAGGTATAAAAATCACAAAATGAAAATCATTAATAGCATTTTAACTAAATGGAAGAACAAACTCTTATCATGCAAAAAAGTTTTCATAGGTTGCCATAACAAATCGTACTTGTCTACAGATAACTGAATGCCTTCTATAGTCAATCGTAGAATATGATCGTACTGCTTATATTTAATCGCTCGATAAACTCTCTGCCATGATCGGTAATACATGCTTCTTTTGTACGTGTAATTCGCTTTAAAAAACGGTAGACATCAGTGGCTAAAATTATGTATAACGTAGTAATTTTGGTAAATCTGTATTAATAAATGAATTACATGATGGCTTTGAGAAGAGATTGTAACCAGACAAGCTGAATAAAACACATCTTCACGAGTTTAATCAATTAAAATCAACTGTAGCCTGTTTTTATTACTGTTAGAATTGAAGATATTTTCATCTTTAAATATTTTAGATACGCTAGCTTTAGAAAATGCTCGATCATACACCCGTGTAACTTTCATCACGTGAAGTTTAATCCTGCTTAAAACTAACTAGCAATATGAATTACATCCAGTTTATTCCTAACATGATTCTTAATTACTAAAATTTATAAAACTAGAATAAATTAATCTTTAAATATCAAGATTGAGTCCTTAAATAACAATTAAATTTATTTTTAGACTACACAACCGCTACTAATCGCAATATTACAAGAATTAAACCTTCCCTAAACTAAGATTTACTAATGTAAGTTTTATGCCTAGTCGTTGCTTGTGTAGCAAGTAAGACCATTCATCGATTCAAAAATATGTTCAAATTTCAGTTTACTTCAACAAAGAGTGACTCTGTAATACATCAAAAAATGATGGATTACCACAACAAAAAACTTAATATGTAATAAATTAACTCATCGGGTAATTCAAATAATCGAAAATAAGATGGATCCAAGTTATCAGTCATTTTAATCGTATAGAATCTAAGTTCCACTTACAAAAATAACAATCAGGGCAACTAATTTAGAATACAAGATGACAAGAAAGCCGCAAATTGGATCTAGTTCAGTCGCAAGGAGCAAAATACAGCTTCAGGGTTATTCCAATAGCACCAAATGCGGGGCATTTACTAGAGAATGGACGAGGTTTGTGAGTACTGTAACAAATTTTCACTTAGTACTATCGCAATTTTAGACTTTTTACGTGAAATTAGAACAAATCTATAGAAATGAAAGCCAGATTTGCATCCCTGAGTTACTGGGCTACATCTACATATAAGATGTAGCCTACTTTGGGCTTGATTTAGCTTGCACAGTTTATTTTCCTTAGTGCAGTGCCACTGTCACAAGCTGGTTTAGAATGTAGCACGAGATCGTACCCTAGAGCGCTAGCAAAAGTATTGACTAGTCTAATATATGTCACACACCACTAGTGACAAAGTAGTCTACACACGCCAATCCTTGCGTAGAACGCCACTTACTAACTTAAAGAGGCGAGCTTAGCTATATCACCAAATAATTCAGTTCCAACGACCGAATACTATGGTATAATTATAGCGTCACAGATGATGTAGACGAGATAGTCAGAGATTTACTATCATTTATTACTGAAGGAATCTTGGCACCCAAGATTATAGTCTTTACAATTAAATATCAATTGAAAAACTAGTTGACTATCTAACCGACTAACGAACTAACAAGGAATCTTCAGGCACCAGCCTTTTATAGTCTCGTCAGAAACTCCTGGTATTAGCTCTCTTATAAAAACTTTGATAGTTTTTATCGTTTAGTATAATCGGGCTAGTCCTTAATTCAGAAAAGATTGCTTCTTTCCATGCTAGCTGATATCGAGCTTGGATGAAAGAATTAAACTACTAAGAAATTATACAAAGCCTGGCTAAATCAGTTCCAGGACAAGAAGTGAAAATGTGATAAATGAACTCTTCGGGCAAATCAAATAATGGAAAGTAGGATGAATACAAGTCATTAGACATTTTTTTCTTGTTGGGTAAATCAAATGATGAAGAGTTTGATTAATGCAGGTCATCAACCAATTACTGTTTTGCCTCATCAGGTAAATCAAGTAATGGAAAGTGTAATAAATCCAAGTCATCAGTCATTTTAGTCGTATGGAGACTCAATTCCAGTTATAAAATGAACTATAAGAGCAACTAATTCAAAATGGGAGGTGATAAGATATCCATGAATTCGATTCTGTAAAGTCGTAAAAGACCAAATACATAGCTTCTATATACGTATTAAGTTAATTGTTTACTTTTAAACTTCTGATTTGTTGAGCCAAGCAGCATTCATCTAAAGTTGAATAAGACTGTCGAAATGTTCTTGTCCTTACGTACGAATTTGAAAAGACGTGAATGTAGTGTCTCCATCAGCGAAGCAACAAGGCATTAAGCTAATATTTTATCAAAGTTGATCTAGGTTAATCAAAAAGAATGAAGGATAGCTTGTATATTCTGAGTATAGATAGACATCGACATACGTTAAGCCTTGAACTTACTAAAGTCTATTTCTCACATTTATCAGAGCTTTACCTTTTGCCATGATAGCTCAACATTCATAAACATCAGTATGTACTGTACTAGTGTTCATATGCAATAAGTACACTTGTACAAAATTATAAGTATAAGCTACTGATGGAATAGTAATTTCATCAAATTATGTTCTTAATCTCATAATTATATAATTATTTTAAATCACTAAGCAGAGTTACTATATGCTATAAAAGCATTTTTGCTAACTTCAGGAGTCCTTGTAATTGATATAATTGTGATGCTTTGATATCCACTACCTTAAAATTTGCTACTATGCTTTTTCTTAATGATGCACATTATAACGTTAATCGTTAAAATCTTGCTATTAATCAATTCATCAAGCAGCGCTCATTTTTCTTAAATTAATCAAATTGTCTCTTATTACTTGATTATTGCCCCGCCTTAAGTTATCCATTAACATATTTTGCCGTATATGGATTGCATAAAGGGTTTCCCGTTTGAGGTGCTCAGAAATGAATTTACTATATAACCAATGCTAAATTACAACGAGTACTGTATTAATAATTAAAATTGTACAGGGATACAAACATTCGAAGACTAACTTAGCTATACACTCATTCATATTTCTATCTAAATGACTATAGATGGTATATCCTACAACTAACAACTGATGCCATCAAACTTACAGGATAGAATACTTTTGACGTGATTTTGTTTACAATGGATCAATTATTGAGATATCCTGTCTACACTCGAATAGTCGCCCATAATCATCAATATTATAGCAAATTGTAGCTTGAGGAATCGAAGTTAACCCAGGGAATTTATAAATGTCTCCTGTAAGTGACAATTATCACGTATATATATTAGCAGGTACAGTATTTGTTTTAATTTGAGGTCGGGATACGCAACACTCCGACCCACAACATATCTAACTAAATTGAGTTTAATAGTATGGATAATTTCGCGTATGAAACGTTTAAAAACCAGTTACCTATAGCTACTGTAATTATCCATATTAGTAGCCAAAAAAATTTTTGATCATTTAATGGAAATAATGAACATTATCAAATTAAACCTATGGTGCCATACATAGTCGATACAGTTTTTACGCAATAAATTAATTTACAGTTTAGCTCAGATTCAATCATGACTATAATTTTAATCGAATTATTATTTTTATTCTAGTCAAGCCATCATCATCATATTTGTACTCTATTAATTACCAATCAAGAAGCTTAATTTCATGTTCGCTATGATACATTACTAAGATACCTATATATTGCTGACTCGATTCTTTAGAAGTAAATTAGTTTTAAGCCTAGCTTGTACAATGACAATATTAATACTAATTCACTCAATAACATTCTTAACCAAAAGTACTTACGAGAAAACATCTCGACTCTTAAGGTCTTGGACATGATTGGTAATTTTCTAGTAAGTATCTACACTTATTATCACTTTCTTTAACATATTGGATTGGTTTCTTTGATAGACTATCTTCAATTAGCCTATTCGCTCCTGCTTGTAATAATAAATTTACCCACATTGGATTGTCGAACTGTGTTGCAATATGTAACAAAGTTGCTCGACCACCAAAACTACTATCAAGAGTGTTAATGTTAAAATATTTTATCTGCAGGGACAATAAATTCTCTAATAGCGTGTAACTGATTTTTTCCAGTCTTTTCTGTAGTTGATGATCCGCAAAGATTGAACGTTTCCAATCATACAACATAATGTATAACATTATTCCAATTATAAAGGTATTACAGGCAGCCCATGCATCGATAGTTCGCGATTGCTCCAGGAATATATATATAGGTAAATCTACAATTGCTTTTACAAATTTATAAGGTAGCAATGTTTTAGCAATTGCATTAGTATCCAAATCTGGGTTTCTTAGCTGTAATAGAAATTGATGAAACTGTTCGTATCTGATATTACTTGTAACAGTCATATTGCTAGGTAAAATTGCCAACACATTTGATGAAAACCACCATAAAGAATGAAGCCCCGAATATCCTTCAGCAAGCTTAGATAACGAAACGCGCTTCAGAATTAATAGTCGAAAACAATCATGATGTCCACTGCGTAGAGCCTTCCAAAGCAATGTTTCACCATGATTGACAATAACTTTCTTTCTTATACTTGTAATTTGTTGAAATAAACGTTGTACATCAGTGATTGAAGTTATATATAACCGTAGAAAAGTAAATAAGTCTAAAATTAATAAATTAATTAGTTGATTGCTTCCAGAGGAAATAGCTCCGTCAAAAGCAGCGTAAAATACATCTTCATCAACGAGATCAATTAAGATCAATCTAAGTACATCTTTAAATCTGTCGGAAGTAAAAACTTTCTCATCAGCAAATATTCCAAATACCACAGCTTTATAGCATTTATTGTCATGTTCTCGTATAATTTTTAACATATCATATGGAATACTACTTGATACTGTTTTAATAGATTCGGCTAAGCGACGACCAACAATGATGTCTGTCCTTGAGTTGTAAATGTACCGAACAATATCTTTTCGATTTAGCAATATGCAATACACTATAGGCGTCATATTATAATGATCCATGTCATTAAGATCAGAATTTCTACTATAGTCGAAAAATCTACTGAATTCATCGATATTTTGATAGATTGCAGCTTGATGAATTGATGGTAAATCCAAGGAATTTAAAAATGCCTCCAATAAGGCAGCATTATCATTTATGCATATTAATACTTTACAAATCATTTCTTGTAGATCTGAAAAATGTAGTGAAAAAGTCACATAATCACCCGATGCATTTTCTTCTGCGAAACTAGCATCATTCGATGGCAATATATAGTATGGATTTGGCGATTGATAACGAATTCCTAATTCTATAATTTTTTGAATCATTCTTTCATTATTTTCAAGTGTAGCAAAGTATAATGGACACAAGAAATAATCTTCATAGTTATCAAAATGAATACGACCAAGAGTAAAATAGAGGCCACAAATATTAGCCCCTTGATGGCATAATGTAGCTGCCCAAACTTCGTAACCATGTTTTGCTGCAGTACACAAATAGCGGCGTAAACGATCTTGTCGATCTAGATTAGCACGTATGCATGATGAGTTTTGTTGTGTTTTCTCTTGCTTTAAGTAATGGCCATATGAATATTCTTTCTCAACTAGAAAAGAGCTTCTCCAAACACATTTGGGCGTATCTTCACTACTCCGTTTCTGTTCCATACCCAACTTTTTACGTTCTGAAACTTTATCGATTATACACCGATATAATCCTAAATAGGCTCTCTTATAAAAATCTCGATAACTTTCTTGGCTTATCAAGACTGGATTTGTACTTAATTCAGAATAGATCGCATCTTTCCACGCAAGTTGATTTCGAGCAAATATCCAATGATTGAACTGAGAGGATACCAAGCAAAGCTTAGCTAGGTCAGTTCCGTATAAGAAATTAAAGATATCATAGATTATTTTATCCGGTAAGCTAAAAAATGGAAAATAACAAGGATCATATACATTCACCATTTTTATTGATTTTTATGAACGGCCTTCAAATCGATTTAAAAATGGGAAATGATAGAGCATTCAAATGGATCCAGTTTAGATTTATAAACCCGCGCGCAATCTTTATGCTTACTGTATTTAGACCACAGTATAACGTTAGAATTTGAGGACTTTGTTGTGTATTTTCGTGGTGAATAGGTTCGAACTCAAAGAAATACACATGCTTCTTCTCCTAAGTTACAAGCTAACTTTATTTCGCATTACTTCTATAGTTACCGTAAAAATTCCGCAGTCTTCATTCTAATACAGCTATAGAACCGGGCTAGTCAAACAGTACTACCTTACTAGATAATTACTATACTAACATTAAGCAAGTCTAAGATTCAGATATATGACAGATTTCACTGTCTAATATGGAGAAACAAATTCTGCTACAGATTACTAAAAAAGGAAGTCAATTAATTTACCAGTGACAATTCTATTTACAGTATCACAGCAGGATAGATTCTATCATATTAGTGGTCGCTGACTACAGTGTATATGTTACGTATATACTTTTTAAAGCTTCTTACGAACAACGTTAGAAGATTGGAAAAAAGGCTAATTTTCGCAATAATAATAATTCAAGATTTGATTCTAGAGAGGACTCGTATCTGTACCTTGCTGTCGTTTTTAGCAGCTCTTATGCTGTTATAGTAGATGCAACATAAACTTATCGAAATTTATATTGAATATGAAAAACAGTGTGATATATGCATAGTATCTGCCGATACCAACTGTAATACTAGACTGTCTCCGCTTAATGTAGCACTTATTAACTCTATAATTAAGTCGATGCAATCATTTTGATGACTATACTGTAACACCTATAACTGCTAATTATGATGTAAAATTATGCCTGCAAGTAAGTTAGTTCATTCTACATTTCATTAGGATATCTTCCCGAGATAAATAACTTTTCGATCAAATAAGGGGTGATAATGATAAGAAACGATATAATAATTAAGTAAGACATGTATTAAATTTCTACATCATTATAAGTAGTAATAAAAACTATAACTTCGATCATGTACCTAGGAGAAAAAAATTTGTTTTGATTGTACCGTACTCGGTACTCCTTTAGCTCAGTGGCGATTAAGCCTCCACGATGATGTACCACTAAAAGTTTGATACTAAAAGTTTGATGCTATTAAACTAAGATTGCTGCTTAACTATAAGTTATAATTATATACGAGTATACAGCATATAATTATCGACGCAATAACTCATCTATAGTTAATCTTAAGCTTCGATCGAATCTTGACTATGCTCGTGATCAAACTATTATTATTTCTATTCTTATAAAATCATGACAATTATCTCTATCTGTTGTTGGTCAGTAGTGGAAATTTATATTAGCTTTGAGCTCATTGCTAAGATAGCCGTATTCATCATTGCTATTCCTTCGGTAATACCTTAGTTTCAAGACTAGGTCAGATCCAGATTATAAACTATGTTAATTTGATTCGTACTTATTCTCCAATAAGTTTTTAAGTGAAATTTCAATAACAGCAGTGATCAGTTATAGCCTTAAATAATTCCGATTTATTAGTATTTCGGTACTGTAAGACAAAGACATAATCGATAGCTTTTAAGCAAGTATCGGTACTCTTTGACCCTTCATTAACATTATGGACCAGTTCCTGTAAAAGGCAATCGTCAATTTGTCTATTTGAACCTTCTTGTGATAATAACAGTAAAGTAGCTGGATTTCCACGCTGAACTGCACTATTTTAATACAGTTTGTCTGTTACTATCAAAGTATTGATGCTAAATGTGCCAACAAGTATGCATCAATTAGGCTATGACTAGATTATTTTGTGCCTTACGAGTGCTTTTTATTCTCGTATCAACAGCAATAAATATAAGCTATTCAACATATTTTCACGATCTCTATATGGTAATTATTATAAAGTACAGGAACAAAATATTTAAAGACTTCTCGAAATTTGAAATGAATATACAAAAGAGTGCGATTTACGTGTATTAACGATATTGTCTGTAAGTATTGAACAGCTTCTACAGTGCTATTACTCACTTTATATTCAATCAGACGCAATCATTTTTATAACGAATACCGCAATGTAGCTCCTGAATATGATATTGATTTACAAGTGTAGTAAGTTAATTAATCCTACATTTCAATATAGTATTTATCTGAGATAAATAATAATTTTTGATCCAGCAAGGTTGGTACCTTAACAGTAATTAATATTGAATACATCATGTTTTAGCATCAGCAGGAATAGTAAGAACGATTAAGTTACAAATTTAATCATACACAGGTGGGGAATATTTTGGTTTCGATGGTAATGAGCACGAATGATAATTTTGTAGTAAGTATTTACATTCTTTAGCAGATTTACGGACGCAATTGATTGGCTTTTCTAGGAAGCGATCTTCAATTTGCCTATCTGCACCAGCCTGTAAGAATAATTGTACCCAAGCAGGATTTCCAAGTCTAGATGCAACATGCAAAGCAGTTTCTTTACGCAGACCATAACTTCTATCACGAGCATTGATATCATATTTCTTATTGAGAGACATTAAATTCTGTAATAGTGTGCAACTAATTTCGTCCACCCTTTTCTGTAGCCGATTATCAATGAACATTGGCTGGTACCAATCACTGTGCATAGTGCGACACATTATTTCGGTTATTATGCGATTGATAGTTTCTTTCATGGTCTGATACGTAGGTAGATCTGCAATTGCTTTTGCAAACGTATAAAATTGTAATGTTTTAACAACAGCATTTGTGTCGAAATCTTGGCCACTTAATTGTAGTAGAAACTGATGAAACTGTTTGTATTTAGTATTACTAGCAATAGCAAAATGGCTGGGTAACTCAATACCTATACCTAGATATAACATTTCTCGTACGCAATGCATATTTGGTTGAACACCCTGTACAACTAATTCTCGAATGCAATTGCCTTGTCCAAATTGTGCGGCATCTAAGACTAACTCTTTACCATGCTCAGTAATGACCTTCTTTCTTGCAAATGTAATTTGTTGTAATAAGCCTTGAACATCATCGCTTGAATTCGCGTATAACTGTAATAGTGTTGGCAAATCTGATATTAATTGATGAATAAGACGACCATTTCGAGAGGAAATTGCACTCTGACAAGCTGCATAAAACGTCTCTTGATTAGTTAAATCAGCTAAAATGAATTGCAATACTTCTCTATTACTAGAGTTAGTAAAAAATCTTTCATCTCCAAATGCTTCAAATATAACAGCTTCATAACACTCATAGTCATGTTGTCGTATAATTTGTAGCACTTTATATTCAATACCTCCTAATGCGGCGCTGATAGAATCGGCTAAAGGGTAACCAATTAAGATATCCATTTGCGACCTGTAAATGTAGCGCACAATATGTTCGCGACTAATTAGTATGGAGTACATTAAAGGAGTCATATTGTAATTGTCCATCATGTCAAGATCGGCATGTTCCTCCTTTATAAGTCGATTTAATTCGTCGATATTACCATAGATTGCAGCCTGATGAATTGGAGGTAATTTCAAGGAATTTAAAAACGGCTGTAATAAGTGAGGATCATGACGAATACATATCAATACTTTGCAAATGATTGCTTGTATGGTTGAGTAAATGGATGATACTTTGGAGCTAGTGGCATCATCAACATGCAATATATATTGCGGATTTTGAGGTTGATAAACAATTCCTAATTCAATAATTTTTTTAACCATGGCAACATTATTTTCACGTGTAGCAAAATACAATGGACAAATAAATAAGTCTTCAAGTAGATCTAAAGCTTCAGGCATAAAAGTGATTCCACATAATTTAGCTCCTTGTTGGCATAATTTATCGGCCCAAACTTCATAACTATGTTTAGCCGCAGTACATAAATAAAAGCATAAATGAGCTTGTTGATTGGAATCTTCCGCTTTCGATCTGTTATTTCGTTGTGTACCTTGTTCCTTTAGGTAATGTCCATATGAATATTTCTTTTCAATAATATATCTGGCACAGCAATCGGCATCCGTTTCAGCTTCACGATCCAATTTTTGCATTAATCGTTGCTTGACCATGTCGGCTACACTTCGATATAATCCTAAATAAGCTCTCTTATAGAAATCTTTATAGTTTTCATGGCTTAGCAAGAGCGGTTTTCCACTCAACTCAGAATTGATTGCTTCTTTCCATACTAGCTGATCTTGTGCAATAAAATGATTTAATCTCGAGCAAACCCTGCAAAGTCTGGCTAAATCACATCCATGGACAAAGCCAAATATACAATAGATTAATTCGTCAGGTAAGTTAAATAATGGAAAATAAGATGAATTCAAATGAAACGCCATCTTCTTCAGCAAGAACTGATTCCTACATTAATAACTTCTTCTCGAATTCAAAATTGGAGCTAATTACTGACTAGTATATAACCACCAACGATGATCTACCTCAGCCATTAACTTTATCCTCAAAATGGATAGGATAGCCTCGGTTGATATAACAACAGCGGGATAGATTGGGTCTAGGATTGGCCTTCTATAGGCAATCGAGCGTTGTGCTTTGATTTCAGTGTAATACATAGTGGTAGAAGTAGCGTACGGGGGATACCTTCCAATCAAGTCACACCAAAGACTAACAACGCAATGAGTCCACTACAGTACATGCTACTGTACACTTAAGTACTGTACACTGTACACTTAAGTACTGTACACTGTACACTTAAGTACTGTACACTGTACACTGTACATTGTCTAGTGTACAATGGAGATACAACGGTGTGCAAAATAAGGTGTCATCTAAAATCCTCTTTTTGATTCTTTCTGAGAAATCTTCCATATCACAGTAAGTTATATGATCACTTTTTCAACCAGACTTCCTCGAAAGGGTGACAACTCGATTTGCACATGCCAATTTGAAAGACAATCCACGTTTGGTAATCAAATACAGCGTTGTGTATGGGAAGCGACATGAAAACGATACACTCGACTGAATTGTAGCAACCTGCTCCAATGCAGAATTGACCTGGAAGAGAAAGGAGCAATGGATTCCACCAAGGATGCAGCGATTCAATCTAAATAGTGGCTCAATACTTTATTACTAGCCAATTGAATTATTGACTAAGCCATAGCTATATATATAATTGATCACAGTGTGAGTCGATGGGCGATAAAGGCGAGAAGAGAATCAAATTGAACGAAAATGTTCAACAGGAAATGTCCATCCAAGCTGGACACGATGATGCAAAAAACAACAACGACATCGCCACGCAATTCGTAAAATATCAAATGGAATTAGATCGTAAAAATGATAAACATGAACGTTTAGTTAAAAGTAGCCGCGATATTACTATTGCTAGTAAAAGATGTATATTCTTATTACATCGAGCTCTTAACGACTCTAGTAAACAGGAAGAGGTATTACTAGAGGCTAAAAACAAACTAGATGAAATACAGATCAAGCAATGGAGTAAAATTGTCGCCAAGGTCGATAACGATGATCGATACTTGTATGCTAGGGCTTACTGGCCTGGTTTAGAAGAATTTGTCGAAGCAATGACGTATTACTATTATTTAAAAGAAAGTAAACTGATTTCATTGAGCCAATTTATTGATCTTGCTCCATTACCTGGTAAACTATTAACAGCATACGATTTTGCAGCAGGTACAGTAGTTCAGCTGAAAAGTTATCATTTTATTGAATAGTTTAGCGCTTAGTGTCTCTTCTACGGTACTTGACTAGAATGTATTACTACTTACACTTGTACAAGTGCAACTACTATTGTGCTACGATGTTAGAATACTGATTGGATTCCTGTTATTGTAGACTGTGATCTAGTGAATATATACGTATATGTTATACAGTATACAGTACAATCGAATAGGATATGCAAAAGATGTAAATTCCAATAATGATAAAGACTATCGAGGAGATACTACCGCATACTACAAATGCCAGTAGTTTATTTTTATGCTGTAATCAGGATAGTAGAGCATAATATGCTGACTATAACTGAACCAGTAATAATATAAAGCATGCGAAAATTCTGTTTACTTCTGTCATTGCTACCATCGTACGTGTATGAATCAGAACTTGCTAACCTGGTATTTTACTCCTGCTATCCATACTAGGTATCGCTGATTTATCTGGTGAATTGATGAGATTATGCATCAATGCCAGTGGAAGTGGTGGAGAAAGTCGATGCTATCGAATTTGTGTCTTTATTCGCGTCATATACAAAAGATTTGTTGGGCTCTCCAAGAAAATAAAGGGATTGACTAAGAAATGCCATCAAGTACAACAAAACTTGGCTAAAATTGAAAATACTTGCTATGAGTTAAAATTAAGAAAAGCAGAAGTACTCCCTTCTGCGTAAAAGATGGGATGTGGCACGCTTATAATAACTAACCAACTAATTATATTGCTGTATCAAATTTTTTGTCAACTTACTCGATAGCCCTATACAGCTTTGTATCATATTTTCAAGTTGAAGTAATCCAGATTAACATGTAAAATAGTTTACTTGGCCTTTGATAAATATTTTAAAATATCAATACATCATCTACCTACGTGATACACTCAGGTCCGTATAACAAAAATGTTTTACAGCTTTCAATGAAAACCAGACATCTTTGCAATTGTTTGATAATTGCTATATCACAGTATATTGGCAATAAACTATTATAAATTACATTCTGTAAACCACGATAGAATTCTTTAAACGTGAGTATGTAACAAATTACTTTAACAATTACTAACATTTGCGCTATCTACAATCGATAACGCTAAGTAGCGGATATTGGGTATACCTTCATAGAATGTCACTGTATCTTGTTTCAATAATAAACGTTATAAGATCTCACAGTTACAGTAAATTACAGCTAATATCGATTTCACATACACAAAGTACCGCATTAATTTTAATCATAACAACTAATTGGCGATATTGCTTCAATAGCATCCGTAGCAGGACCTTAGACAATACCAACAAATCTATGATAGTTTAGGGCTCTCAAAATACTGAACAAAAATACACAAAATGAAATATTGTAAATTGCTAACTGCTATCATCCATCGATCGATGAGTATTTTTAAGATAGCCGCAGGATAAAATAGTTATTATCGTGGAGATTATCGGATAGAGATATTGAGCTTTCTTCTTGCTTACTATTAGTGGTTACGTGCATTAAACTTCTTCCTCATATGTAGATGTAATATAATATAAATAAAGTAAAGTTAAGGCAGATTATTAACCACTTTAACTACCAATCACATTGCAGTGCCTATAATAAAAATTAATTACCATGAAATGTCTAAGTGAGTTATCCTTAAAAATATTATATCTTGATGTAAACATTTATAATAAATCTATTTTCTAGGCTATTGCTGAAGCTTTCAATGAGCTATTGATCAATGTTGCTATGAATTAGATTATCTGATGGCGTAGTAAATAACCGAAGAATGATCGTTTAATTCCATCGTACTTGCTAGCCATTATAATAGCATCAGCTTGTAATTAAATATGAAACTATAAGTTTCGAGAACTCCAATATACTATCTCTATGTTAAAAATTGACTTTAATTTTGTACGAGATAAACTATAATACATTTAATAATGATAGAAAGAAATTTGTAGCATAAGACAAATAGCAGAAGTTTTCGTTTGTTTTGAGGGTACTTCAAGATACTCGTAGACACTAATTTATTGACACTGAAATTTGTTGACGTACTGACATACGGTATATTGCCGGGCTCCACCCGTGTTTATGTTGCAGAAACTGCGTTAGTAGACGTCAATTTAAGTTATTTTTTTAGTTGAGGTCAAAGTACATTATAAGTTGAGTCCTTGCAAATCTATACAGTAGAACTAATAAGCGTTCTCCTGACCGATATAAATTAACTTGGTTATACGAAGTAAGAATAACAAGTTAAACTTCGCAAGTGCTATATCTAATTAAAACTTTCCTAACTTATAAAAGGTATTGCTATACTTTCATCGCATCTCATCTATTAGCTCAAAAGCTGCATCAAATTTAATCATGGCTGATAAAAATACTGCAGTAGAAGTAAAAGAGGGCGGTAAGCACTTTAGCTATGTTCTAACCACCACACGCTTAATTTTATTGCTGATTATCGTTGTGGCTGCCATTATTGGTGCTGGTATTGTTGGCAGCGTTATTGGTAGGCAGGCTCATCCTCCAAATCCTACCACTGTTCCTAGTACAACTTCAACAACAACATCATCTTCGGATCATTATCATGTTATCCTTAATCGATTACGAGCGATTCATCAGAATATGGCGGATTCTGTGGATGCAAATCAAATTCGTGACCAATTAAAGTAAGATATTAGAAATGTAATTAGCGTTGACTGTAGAGCCGTTATGATATAATCCAAATATTCTATCACTGTATTGATTAATTATATAATTATTAGCGAAAATTATACGATATAATTGAGGCGATATAGCTTTTCTCGCTCAATTGAAAGTATTCAAAGCTTAGTATGGAAGTAAGATCTAAGATCTCATAGTTTCTTGTAAAACTGTGCCTAAGCGCCTGTATATGGAACAAAAATATGAATCATACCGGTAGCTTCTATTTTCTGGCAATACTATTTGGTGTAACCAAAAATAATATTTTCGAGGTAGGCTCTCTTTGCAGTCATTTCGCTTAGTTGAAAGCTTTCATACCTTAATATAATTAAATTAATAACCGGGACCTTTAAAGTAAAAAGTAATCTAACATTAGGATTAGAGATAGTTTTTTCAAGCATTTATGGCACGACCTTCTGTTATTCGTACTATATTGAACAATGGTTTATTATACAATATACTTGTATATTAGCTTCCGTTTTCATCAGTATTTCTTAAATATTTGTGAATAGTATTATCTAGACCATATGATTTTCTTGTTCATTCATTTTACTCTATTGAAAGTATTCCTATTGTTCTTCTTAATATTGCACTAAGAATTGCCATTATTATTCTTCGTATTATAGGAAATTTTATTGTAGAGCAAACAAAAATATCAATTTTAATATTCTACTAACTTCTTTTAATAAATAAAAAACCATTTAGAAAATATAGTTTTCGCTCTTACTTTACTCAATTAAATGAGTTTAGAGCCAGATACAATTGCAGGACTTAAGACATCTCTTTCCAATATTGTAATTGAACTGTATGTGTTGTGCAAGCTCTCAGCGTCAAGATTTCTTGTAACACATTGTACCGGTAATAGCTTTTTCTATTAGTATCTTACGTTAGTGGATGCCATAAAATCTAGACAATTTGCATGTATTCCATTCTGTGAAGAATATTCTTGGCTTTTAGATGTCTGTAAAACATGAGAGTTTCTTTCCGTTTACTGCAATAAATTGCTTTGATTACTCTACATTATATGCAAGTAGGTTTTAGTTTAATTTTGAGCTAATATTTGTATAAAAAAGCTAATTGGCATAATACAGTAGAGTTTTAACGTTCTAGAATGATTTCTTCTAGTGTTGTAGAATATTTATCTATGATATAGTGGTATATCGGTAGCGTATATACTATCCTACATAGAGGCCACGGAAACTTAATTAAAATGAGTTATCAATAAGAATTTAACATTAAAATAACTTTAATCAGTCATTTTCTTTTTATTCTTTTTACAGTAATCGTTAAGATAGTTTATTTCAACATGATGTGACAACTTTCAAGTATAAGTGCACAAATTTTATATTGCTTAATGGCATTGAAGGATTAAATGCTTGGTGCTAATAATACTCAGTCTAGATATTGATTATTTTATAAAAATGATAGCATATTCACGCATTTTTATGCTACATGAGCTAATCTCCTTTGCAATCTGCCAAATCTTACGCATATATTAGGTATTTATCGAAGAAAGTTCATCATGCTGGATCTGCCGAAAATCTTAAATTGGCGGATTACGTTAAGAGTCAATGGGAATCTGCCAGCTTTGATGATGTACGATTTCAAAAATACCGAGCCTTACTATCTTATCCAGATTCTAAGAACCCAAATGTTGTTGGTATGAAAGGTACAAAGCAAAATATATTGATTTTATTAAGCAATGTTTTATTAAGCAATGTCTTATTTCAAGGATAATGTAATAAAATTTCAGAGCAATTTGAAATCATCACTGTTAGGAATAATTTATCCTATTCATGGACTACTAAAAGTATTTCTTTAGTAGTCCATGTCATACTCTACTAATTACCTAGTTAAAACGATTGCTACTTCAAAAAGCACCGCAAAGCTTTCCTTGCTCTACACTTTCTAATTAAAATTTCAAGTAAATTCTTCAAAGATATTCTAGATATAAATAATATAATATAGAATATTCAATTTGTTATACTTTACAATTTAGCTTTAAATCATTTTTACAACAGATATAGAAAAATTCATAATGGTATCGCTTAAAAATAATGTAATTAGCATTGTAAAATTTTCATATTTTAATCAAAAATACTGTAATCAATATTCTAAAACAGTATTTCAATTTCAGCTGTAGAGAACGCCGTTATAATTTATGATCTTTTTTATTATTTTTTATCTGTAAATTTGTAATGTAAACAGTTCTTGGCAGAATGATGAATGTTTTTTCATCATATCTTTATAAATGTTGTAATAATCAAGAAAATCAGAAATTGCAACTTTCCCCAGCTGACTTATGAGAAATGAATATCTTTATAATAAAGTCATAAACTTAGAGCTTCGCATTAATATCTATTCAATTGATACACTAAAATCTGTTGCATAAAGACATCTATATAGGGTTTTGAATTACTTTCTTATACAATATATTTCATGATAGATAGTTTACTTGGCTTCTTTTCTAGGAAGCAAAATAAAGTTTTAATGAACTGTCTCATCTCTTTAACTAGATCAAAGTGGAACATTTAGATATCGCGCTTCAATGAAGGAGGAAAAGTTGCACCCTGATGAAAATGATCCTGAACTTCTGGCTCCGTATAATGCTTACGCTGCAAAAGGCCTCGTAGAGGGCCAACTAATCTATGTCAATTACGGCCGTTATAGCGATTTCGTAGCACTGCAAAAATTAAATATTAGCTGTCGCGGTAAAATTGCTATTGTAAGATATGGTAGAATGTTTCGTGGTGACAAGGTAAGTCAAAAGCAAATAGAATTATCAAATCGACGTATAAATGAATTCAGATACTGTCTACGTATATAATCCACTGCTTACGTACTGGTATTTAATATCTGTACACCTGCGGTTTTATTGCTCTCTACTTATGATAGCCAAAAATTGGGCAAATGTTTGGCTGCATTGGTATGATCATTTACAATGATCCTGCGGATAGCGCTCCTGAAGGCTACGAAAAATCATATCCAAACGATTGGTACTTGCCTTATAGTGGAGTACAGCGCGGTTCAGTATCAACTCTGTTAGGAGATCCCGAAACGCCTGGTCGGCCATCTTTAGGTTAGTTTGCCCTAGATGTTAGCAAGCTGAAATATAAATAGATATTTATTCCTTGCCAAAGCATCATTTCCATCAGTTCTCACACCGGTAATAAATCATTTCAGATTCTGCATATAGGAATTCCAATTTAAGCGGTATTGTTTCTAGCATTCCAGTGCAACCTTTGAGTGCTAAAGATGCTATCTATTTATTGGAATCTCTTGATGGCCTTGATGCACCGGCAGAATGGCGAGGGAAGCTGCCCATAAAATATAAAATTGGCGGTTCCTTTATATCTAATATGTCTAATTGGTAAGCGAAAGCTGGTTTACTTTATTATCTAAGTATTGCAACAATAATTTATATTTATCTACAACAAATTAGCAGCTAGAGTTAATCCGAGCTATCTCAATACGATGAAATTTTAATTACACATCAGTAGTAGCTAGCTTAGCCGCATAATTACAACATTTATGAGATGAGTTATTCTATTATGCAGTAGATATTTACAGATCGATCGTTACATCGACTACATCTTGAGTTAACGGACAGTATTGCTATATGGGTATTTGCCTTTACTACTTAATTTGCATAAATAATCTTCTTAGCTAGTGATATTTTGTACTGTACCTATCTATCTATATCACGGGCCAATACGCGTATTGGCCGAATATCAGGTTTTGGCCGAATCACATTTGAATGGGTAATTTACTGGTATAATTAATCATCGTAATGGCTAATATTTTGTTACAGGGTTGTCCATTTGGCTGTTAATAACGAATTGGTCCATAAAGATATTTACAATGTTATTGGTACAATAAAGGGTCAGATTGAACCAGATCGTTATGTTATTGTTGGTAATCATCGAGATGCATGGAATTTTGGTGCAATTGATCCTTCTAGTGCTACCGCTGTAATGCTAGAAGTATCAAGAATTATGGGAATTCACCTAAAGCAAGGTTAGTTTAGATCAAGTTTTTGTATTTAATCTTTTGACAATTGATGTTAAAATCTTAAGGCATATGTGATATAGCGTACAAATGATTTAACAATCATATTAAGCTAATTGATAAAGCTACTTTGATGTGAGTAGATGTAACAAAACTAACAAATTGTGTGTATTATTCATTAACATCTATTAATGGACGCAAATAATAAATACAGTACTTGTCCATTCTTACTATATTTCTTGAAACGCTATTCTTAACAATATTGAAGGCTGGAGACCACGAAGAACGATAAAATTTTGTAGCTGGGATGCAGAAGAGTTCGCTTTAATTGGATCTACAGAATGGGTAGAAGTACGTCTAAATTTTCTAAGGCATAACAGTTTGCTTTAGTGTTGATGCTATCGTAATCCATTTCGTAGTGCTAACTCGTCCATTAATGCCTAGGAAAATGCAAAAGAATTAGCACAGAGGGCCGTAACTTATATTAATGTTGACCTTGCTGTTATAGGTATATTTAGCAAGAAAATGAGTTTAAATTTAGCGAAATTACTTATGACAACTGTTGAGCAGATCTGTTCTTTCCTGTCTCATCATTTTTAGGCAATTACTCATTTGCAGCGCAAGCTAGCCCAATTTTTACTAAAGCCGTACATGAAGCAGCAAAGCGAGTAAGGCGAGAAATACTGTATGATTTCTGATATGCATGAGTTTTCAAGAAAATGAAGTATTATGTTTAAAATAGGTAAAAGACCCCAACGACTTAACGAAATCGGTTTATGATATTTGGTCTACAAGATTTCCACTTCCAGGCACTCAAAAGCCATTGTAAGAATATCTGATAGATTTACAATTTATTGAGGCGGTATTAAAAAGTGTAGGCTGAAACAGAGTTCTATTTGTACAACGGATTTCCATCTTAGCATGGGTCTCTTAGCTTCTGGAAGTGATTACAAAAGTTTTATTCAATACGTGGGAATTTCATCAATCAACTTTGCATACGTCTTCAACTTTGTAAGAAAACTTTGTCTTGTGTCATTTCCTTTCTGCTCGTGTGCTTATTCATTCAGCCATTATCTTTACTTTATACTGAAATTTGTTAATAATTCTAGGTAACCTCGCCATTATCCAATTATCCTACCTATCATACGCGCTATGATACCTTCGACTATATCCAACGTACTTTAGATCCCCATTTTTCCTTTCATGCCTCTATCGGGCGTATGATGATGCTGCTTACTGTAGAATTTTCAGACTATCCACTTTTACATATCAACACTATCGATTATGCACAAACGATCGGTATGTATTTTGCGCAGATTTCGGCAGCCTATAAACCTCTACTACAAAGTCATGGAGTCACTTTAGGTAATATGATTATGCCGCAATGATGAGGATTATGATTTTGAATGAAATTCTATACACTATTTTGATTGCATTTCATCATTGGTATGGAAGAGGCGTCGATGAGTATAGATATGAACCAATTACTATACGATTTACTTTGATTCATTGCAAATCCTACAACTTGTCCATGTCTACCTATGTTATTAATGCTGATTCTAATTGTAGATTACTTACAATGGGCTATTGGAAACTTTACGGTCGCTTGCAGTCGATTTGATCAAAGCATTCAGAATATTGACGTGAATGAGTAAGTATTGGTTTAAACTAACGATTCTACTGGTTTAGATGATAGAAGGAATTCAACAGTAAAATTGCATTGCCTGTCGTTATTGCGATATTCCTTACTGCTGGGTGCTAATAGAGTATCTTTACCAACTTTCTTTAGTGCTTTAAAGTTAAGAAGGATTAATGATCAATTAATGTACCTGGAGAGGGCATTTATTATTCCTGAAGGATTACCGGGTAGATCTTACGACAAACATGTCATTATGGCATCCAGTCAAATCGATCAATATAACGTTGCCCCCTTCCCAGGCATTGTTGATGCTCTATTTATTGGCCAAACTCAGAATAAATGGGAAGAAGCTAAAATACAAGTTGCCAATGCTGCATATTTGATTCATGCAGCAACTAAGACTTTGACTGTTATATAGATACGCTCTGATGGATTGTACTATATTAAATATTAAGATATTAGTAACCTTGATTGAACTGAATGAGTGGTAAAATTCTCTAGTACTAACTTTGCATTTATCCATCTATGCGCTAATAGATCCAGAAATGCATTTCTTGATAAGTCTAGATATAGTCTACAGTCCTTTTATAAGCTATCAAACTTGTTAGCATAAGTATAGGTTCGAGTGAAATAGCGCTAATGCGCGGTTAATATTAAAGCTAGTCTGCCAGCAATGATCGCCTTTATAGCATTTCGGTTTTATTTTTTCCTTAACACGATTATCACTTTTGTCTTGAAGTATTTGCTAGCGTTTAAAATTAAGCGCCAAATAATAAGCTATACACTATAAATCCTAATTGATTTATTATCCAATTCTGTAGCTCAAAAAATGAAGCTTTACACATTCGTTAATCAAAGCGTTTTCCTAACTCTCATTCTCTGTAATTGATAGATGAACTAAGCCTGATCATAATGATGTAAACGATGCCGATCGATACAGCCCAATGCTAGATTATAACTGTAATTCTATCATTATTATGCACGTATAATATTTTCCATACGAAAAAGAAATTGCCAATATTAACTGTAACTTGTGTGCCGTCTATCATGCATCTGTATACCTCGAATCAAATGTGATTGATACAATTTTAGATCACATAGCTAAAATTTTATTACTAAGGCATTTATACTAACCAGAAGAGGATTGCTACGATATACGTCTATGTAGTATATCGACATTGATGAGTCTCGAATAAAAGTGATTGAATTTTAAATTACTTAGTTATGACTGTATTAAATGGCGATTTTACGTGTATACAGTATTCACACTTCTGTAACTTACCCTTTATTTGAATACCATATGATGAAGCAATAACTATGAGAGTCAAAAAAATTAGAACGCTACTGACATTACTATTTTAGATATTCTTATTACTGTATTCGATAGAATCTTTCTGATATGCATTCAGTACATTGCCAATTCATAGAGGCAGTTATCTTGGCTAGTGAACTATTTTAATTACTTAAATTAAGAGCTAATGGCGTTATTCACCTTATCCAGCCTCTATCGTAAACGTTCTAAAACAAGTTCTAATTTGCACGGAATATTGTGATCGGCTGATTAATCAACTTGCCAATCAATATTGTAGAAATGGATGATATGCGATATCAAGGAAAAGTTGACCAATACTATACAATTGGAAAATGTAACATCAATAATCCATTTGGTTAACAGGACTCTACGACTTCAGTATTTCGCAGCTTTACTTCGTAGCAGGCTTTTTCAATCTTTGCCAAGTTTTGTTCAATTTGTTTGCATTTGATGAGCAATTCTCGATTGTTGCGGGTTAATGCAATAAATTGGACAAACAAGGTATGGACAAAGAGACAAATTTGATAGGGTAAATTTCCAGTAGCGGTGGCGCTGACATTAATGCACATCCTCATGAGTTCACCGGATAAATCAGCAATCCCTAATGCATGGAATGGAATGAATATTATTTTATTTTATGGCTACTCTCGATTTAGCATTCTAAATGATTACGTCAAGCTGCAAGAAAATAAATTTAAATCTTTTCCAATAATCAGTTTTCTGCTGCACCATGGAGTAAAATAGAAGATCGCTATCGATGGTAATTAGCAATCAGAGATGCAGACAGAGATCATCAAGTCAAATAAGGGATTGATAAAATTAAATGATATCTAATGAAAAGGTTGCCAAGTGTTTTACTGCGAGACTTTTAGATAGAATGGTATCGTCTATTATCAAACCTACAGTAGTCTCTATACTGTAGATGCTGTGTAAAAGAAATAGTCGAAGGTCGAGGAAGATTTTATATAACAAGAGCGTGTCTGTACTCGGGGATTTCGAATTACATCGATGAAAAGATCGAACATCGAGAGATTTTAAACTAAAAATTCGTCCATTAACAGACTTGGATTATAATTATCGAATCCACTAGAGCATAAAATAGATTGCGCAAAAGAGATGAATGATTAAATATTTAAAAACTTTGATCCACTAGCAAAATTTCAAATATTGAGCACACCGCAGTACGCTTAGTAAAGGAAACAACTTCATACCAGCAGATTTCGAGTCCACTATGCTGTACGATAGGTACTCGACTAGATCAAGTTATTTTAATCTACAGGAACAACTACAAGCAAAATGGATTTATCTGTCAAAATTGTAAAAATAGTGACTTGATCGATTAGTGTCGTTACCTCCTGCGTAACTGTATGGCGTGATTAATTTTCCAGCTAAAGGAGCAATATGATGAAGATCATTCAATGAAATCAGCCTGCTCTCTTGCAAGAAGTAATAAAATGTGATTGCTTCGACATATTCTTCTAAGCCAGGATAGTAAGCTTTCGCGTAAATATGGGTATCCATCTTAATGTACTCTGCAATTTTACCAAGAAGACCATCATGGATGTTGTCTAATTCGGCCTTCGCTTGCTTGAGGGTAAGTTTCCTTTTCCTCGGCCAATCAGCCGCTCGATGGAGTAGAAAGATACATCTTTTGCTAGCCACAGTGACATCTCTGCTGATCTTGATCAATTGTTCATGAGTATCATGATGATGATCCAGTTCAATTTGATAAAGTTTAAATACTGAAGCCATTTTATTGTTTGCATGCTGCGTCATAGCGTCCACTTTCATTAAGTTAAGCGTAACCTACTTTTAGCCTTCTCTACAATCTTTAATTTGTGGCAAGGAGCAGCTGTAAGCTACAAATGCAATTGCCGTACAAGGATGCCAACCTGAAATGCGAAAAGAAACAACCGAAAGACTGTATAGAAGCGCGCAAGCGAAGCTGAGCCTCTGTTGCAGAGCACGCGCCAGTATACGCTGATTGTAATGGCAATAGGCCAAGGCTTGATGAATCATATACTGTAAATCATCATGATATCACTAAGCTTGGTACATAATTTCTTCTTGCTCTATGAAGTTAGAAGCTTATGCAGAATATTGCAAACCTCAGGAATTACTTACGGATTGGATCATTGATCGTTATCCACTTGTTCACTCTTAGGAGTTAAGAATTCAATTTTAGTTTTACCTCGATAATTATATAATCATACATAGTCGAATCTACACTTGCACACTCAATGCACAGCCATGAAGATAGGGTAGCAAAATACTGGTGTCCGTTGCTGTTAGCTACTTATTCAATTGAAACTAGCCGTCAACAACTACATGCTCGCTATTTTATCCAGTTATGTTTACGAACATAATTTATCATCTACGATGAGAATTAGTGACTAAAGTGCTCTCTGTATAATGATCCTGCTAGATTAATGGTGAAAATGCATGTGTCACAAAGATGCTGTGAGATGATCTTAAAGGTTTTAGAGTCTTGAAATTACTGTGCTCTTTACATATCTTTCACAGCATTACGGAAACTCTTAACATTGCCCTTTAAAAGCCAGATAGTTGCATAATAATTAGGCACACACGTACTGTTATGTATGAAATATATTAGACAATGTTACTCTTCGCTTCAATGTTTCTTAATTTTCATGTCTAATTTATGCTGTACACTATTTTGGCTGTTTCCGTAATAGCTATGACTGCGCCATCAAGCATAAATACTGTCTATAACTTGGTCGCTGTCTTCAATTCGGTATCCATTGAAAATATCACTATTTTTACACCCGCAATTCTCCCCAAAATTATGCTATACGTTATGAAAAGATACCGCACTCTAGATCAGAGTAGCTAAAACTCAGTACTGTCAATCAGTATGCAATTAGCCGGTCATCACAAATCCAGAAGGTAATAAGAAAATTCGGACAAAATCACTGGATTCTTCTTTTTACCATTGACCAAGCGCTCCTCCTATCTGCACATGGTTTGCAAAATCGCTGTATTTATGTGAGTTAATTTATGAATTTATTCCTCACGCGTATTAATGCAAGGTGTCACATCAGAAGTAACCTTGCTACTGTAACTGCAGTATATCAACCTGTATACTATCAATTGCAATATCAATATTGAATAGCAATGACTAGAGTGTAGTGAACATTTTTAGTGCGCCTCTAAAGTCATTTTATTGCCATCTTTTACCAATCAAGCAGTAAAACGTTTGTACGATATTGACGGAATAAAAATTCCAATCTGCAGTGCCCTACATGGACTACTGCTGTAGAAGAAAACTGCCAGCCAGTCCTGTATACTAGTAACTGGCAGTTTGTAACGATGTCTCAACTATATACCGCTGAAATTGTTATTCAAGTCAATTTCTGAATTTAAAAGAACGATTTCAGCGGTATATAGTATACTCAGGATTTACAAACTGCCGTGTACTAGTATACCGAGTAACAAGGTACAGCAGAAGAATAGACTTTTGCCCACTTTCGACGGCAAGTGGCGCAAGTATGAACATATAGCTGGCTGAACAATAGAACAAGAATGCCACACCTACAGTCCTACAGTACAGTACAGTACCGTAACTTTATTTTATTTTATATGGTACAGTACAGTGCACAGTACTATACTTTACAGTACATTGTACAGTACAATACTATGTCTCTACAATCAACATCACTTGATTACCCTGCTGTAGGTACGAGGAGGTGCAAGCAGGCAAAGCTGAGCCAGTGGCTTTGCAACGGAAGAGCATTCCTTGACGGTCTTGGATTATTTTCTACCGATTGCTGCTATCGATTCGGTTCAATTGTTGTTGAAGGTGAGTGGATAGGCTATTGTAGAAGCTATCGTCGATCAAACGAGCCATACGTTCGATAGCTCGTTGTAAAATTTCAATCACAACAACGTGATGGTCGACAGCATATACTTGCCTGCAGTAGATTTGTCGATGCAATCCATCCAATAGAATAGTAGAAATAACATCGCTGCGATGCCATTGCTATGACTAGTAGACAATAATAGCGGTTTATTTGCTAAATAAATTGCCCATCATACGTGTACACAGAAGTCATGCCTCGATGCACCTGTCTCTCCATCAGTTCCACGTCAAGCGGTAGAGATGGGAGAATCGATGCTAATTGCTCCATTAGCAGTACTTTGTTTTCATCATCAGTCTAATTAGACATATGACAAACAATTTCATCATTGCCAAGAATTGTATTGCTATGGACAATACGAATTGACAACGTTGATAAATAGTAACAAATAATCTTATCATTTGATAACTCCAAATGGGAACAGGCATTTCTGCTAATTATTGATTGCATTACGAAACCATATCTTCACCATAAATCAAATCAAATTTTACAGATAACTTCGTAATGCTGCAATATTGCTATTGATCTTATTGACACGTTTATAAGTACGCTTTGAATACCGCTGTTCGTAGAATAAGAATCTTATGATTTCCATACTCCAGAAGAGATGAGTGCATTTCTGAAATCAAGAAGTAACGGCAAAATCACTGAAATTAAGCCTGGTACAGTCACAATTGGTCGAGGCCCATTCTTGGAGGTAAATGATATTGAGCTATAGAAAAGCAAAGTTGAGTTTCAAGTGAAGGGGATCACAATAGTAGTATGAACGTTATCAGGTAACGACAAGATGGTCGCATCGAATTTTGCACTCATAAACTTACGCACATTTATAGGAATACGAAATGAACTCTTTATGTAGAGTATGTCTACATTAATTTATTCATTGATGTAATAGTACCTGCAATTACTGTACGATTACATACTCTCCTGCTTTTGTTTGTATAATAGGTGTTGAAGCCTCATTAACTCATATTAGACATTAGGCAGCAATAAAAGCATCATTTTGTATAACTGAGCTCTGATAAAAACACGTTTATGTATGCTGCTAACAAATAGGATTGCTTACTGAATCGTTATCCTAAACGTATGTTACATTTATTATATGAATTCCTGTTGTTTAGGTAACTGAAAAAAGGGTATCTCGTAAGCATGCAGAGCTGAAATATTTGGACGAAAAACTCATCTTAATTCCCGTTAGTATGATTGTGCACAAAGACAAACTTTGGCGTATCGTATACTTGCGTCAATACCCACAGTTTACGTATTTTACGTGTATTTACTGTTCGTCTGTTATGTAAAGTGAATTAAAACACTTATACGAGAGAGTCACGATAAATTGTATATTATTTTGGATGCAACACTGCTTTTTGTAATCTTTATGCTTTGATCACTCAAAATACTTAAAATAACATTTTTAACGTATGTGTTATCTATTTCTACTCATTGTGTTACAGACTCACGCAAATCCTTGCTTTTATCGAGCTGCTGGTCAGGATAAATTTGATGTGCTGCCACGAAATGTTGAAAAAGAATTGCAAAACGGAGATGAAGTTTCGCTATTACCAAGTGATTTATATTATCAGGTGGTTATAAATTCCAGCCAGAAAAAGGATAAAAATCTTCAAGGCAATGAAGGAGAAGGGTAGGTTATACAAGATACCGGCTAATAATGTATTAATAGGGCAATTGATTTAGCCGGATAAGTAACGACTGCTAAACAGTGCTTGACCACTGCTCAGAAAACAGCTGTCATCTCACATGTTCGTCATGGTAGTGAACTAAGCGAAATTTAATATGTTGAATGAATTTAGTCGTAGTATTGACCGAAAGCAAAGCGTCAAGTCGAAAGTCCACGATAGTTCGCATCCAGCATGGGCGCTTAGCGACATCAAAGATACTTTTTCCGTTGATGAACCGACCTCATCCTGTACTAGTAAACAGTCAATAGCAAATGAGCCTAGCTCAACCGCAGACACCAGCAATAGCAATAAACAACATACAGAGCGTGATAGCCCTTGTAGTAACGTCGAAGACGAACCATTTTCTACTGAATATGTACCATTGTCAAAGAAGCGTAAATTACCGTCATGGCTGGCTGATTTGGCACCAGCTGGCTCTAACCTGAGCAACGTTGCTACCAGCAGCAAGCAGCAACCTACGAAAAAACCAAAAGCTAGTAACAAGGCTACTACTAAACCGGCGGTTACTAAGACAAAAGTTACAGATAACGACAACACTAGTAGCACCAATGTTAGCAATAAGGCTGAGGTCAAAAAACAAACTACTGTAAGGTCGACTATTGAAAATGACATTAATTTGGATAATGGAATTTCCACCTCGGTATCAAAAAATAGTAATAAGGACATGCAATCAACGAAAGCAGAGACCCACGTTACTAGAAACAAGGCTAATTTTAGTGATGACGACGAAGATGAAACGCCAATACCGAAATCTAGAAAAGCTTTGACCAGAAGAGATACCGTGAGTGACGAGGATGGCGACTGGAATGACAATCGAAAAATATCAAAGACTAAAAATGTCTTTGTTAGCGATGAATCAGATGATATGCAGGAGAGACGAGATGCAGCTGTTGTAAAAAAATCTGTAGAAGAAGAAAAAAAAGGACAGACTACTTCTCATCAACCCAAGGCAAGAACGACTAGTCAGGATTCGCAACAGCGCTCATCTATTACCACTGAAAGTGAAGAAAGTCAAAAGTCAAATAAACTTACGAAGCACAAATCAATTAAAAAATGCCCTTATGGAGCGAAATGCTATAGGTATCATCATACATAGCCAGCATAGGTATTATATTTATTCATAAAGATGTATATATATACTAACAGTGAATGTTATTTGTGCATGACCGTACACGATAGGAAAAACCCACAGCATTTGATTGAGTACTCTCATCCTTCAGCTGATGGTTCACCGAATGTATCTGATGAAAGTGATGATGACGATTTACCAGTATGCCCTTTTGGAGCTAGCTGTTACAGGTAATCGTTAAAGCCCTCAGATATTAGGAAATTTATTGGATTATCTCTGCATTTTCGTCAATAATTAATTTAATTAAATCACAGGAAGAATCTGCAACATTTTAAAGAGTATTCCCATCTGAAGAAACAGACAGCTGCAACTACAACTGCAACTACAAGAAAACAAACGGGATCTAGAGGTAGATTAGAAAATATTTCTTGAATAGACTTTTAGATATTATCAAAGTGTTAATTATAATATCTATCTCCTTTGGTAGCATCAGTTCGGATTAAAGCGCAACCCAAAAATGCCAAAAGTATGTTCTATTGCATTAGCATATTAATTAATTAGGAAATGATTCAAGGAAGCACTTAAGTAACTTTCACATACCCTGTAATTGCATTTGTTTAGATCGCAAGAGTGCGCTAGACGGTGATAGTGATGATGATGGCGGAATAAACAGTTACGATTATAATGACAGCTTCATTGATGACGATGACATAGACGAAGAATCATCATCTTACGGAGAGAACACTACCGATGATCCAGATTTTAACGTATCTGATACAGATGAAGAAATAGGCGTACTTCTTGATGAAGCAAAAGACTTTGTGGGACAAAGATAATATAGGGTATGCACCTTAAGATGCGAATTGGTTGTCATGAAATTCAACGCTAAGATATTTGACTATACACTTGATGGTTTCATAAGTGGTCTTAAGAATCAGACCATATGATAAACTTGACGGGTAGCTGTTACTGAACGACTTAATGCGTTTCATCAATCGTGTCTGGCGTTTTTAGGTAATATATTATTGAATATTTTTTACTGTAATATTAATGTTACTGACTCAACATAAGAGTTTATACCCGGTAAATCTTACTGTAATTAGTAGTACTAGTTTACGACAATTTTTTAGCCCATAACGTGCATAAGTCGTTACAACGTTCTTGCTTTCATTGATAAATGTATAGCATGACTTAGTTGGCATTGATAACTCTGTTTTTGTGAATATATGAAAAACTTGATAATTTCATCAGCATAAGATTAAGAAACTGTTATCATCCATGTTTGAATTATCCATTTAAAGTTTAGCTATCGAAAGTGCTACGATTTGTTAATTTTAAGGTACAGTTTAAAATGTATATAGATGTATGGATAGTAAAAGATAAAATAGTCACAGAAATTGTTAATCGGAATAAACGAGTTTATTTAAATATTGTAGTGAGTACTAGGTGTGATTTATCGTGATCCTTGATTATATCATGCTTTTGACACGGTAGATAGTAACGTGAGGAGGCAGTGATACTCAGTTTAGTTCAACAAATTCAAGTAATAGCGTAAAACGATACGAATCAGGAGATTTATTAGAGTTGGATGTGTTGTATGTAGTATCACGATTAACAATCTCAAAACTAGCTTCTGGAATATGGAATGTGTTACGTTAATGTAGTCTCATAGCGGTTAGTAGTGGAGTGCATATGATATAACTGATGGCAATCTGAAAACTAGCTTCTGGAATAGGTTGCGTTAAAAAACTATTAATAATGTGCTGACATTGTGTAGGACTGTGTGTGCATTCTAACATACCGTATGATGGATGGTCATCCTTTAAATAAGTTTTAGGCATCCTTACAAAACTTAAAAATTTAGTAGCCATAACGATTTACACAACAGTATGACTGATTTAATTTAGTATCAATCAAAAAATACGTAGAATATGAATATTCTTTGCTTATAATTAAATTATGATTAACGTTGATATTATTTGGAAATGATAAAATGATGAAAAATCACAATTTATGATACATTGCTGATTTTATAGATGATAGATATATTAATTGTATTCAATTAGATAATTTTACAGCGTATCCTATTGGCATCGATAGAAAAACTCGCTTTAGAATAGGGGGTGTAAGCCTTCATTTAGTACATAGACTGGAAATGGAGACAGCCGTTTGAAATTTTTAATTTATGGAAATAATTATTAGACTGATATACCTAACTGATTGGCAGTGTACACTACGTCAGAGCTGCAAAAGATGCAACATTTTATAATTGTTCGAAATGCAATAATCTTGAAAGAGGTTGCAATCAGTCAGACATCCGATAATACACACAATTGCTTTTATTTACCAAATAACCCTAGACAATTAAAAATAATAATGTAAGTCAATAATGATTGTGCCGAAAAATACCGCAGTAGATAGTAGGACATTAAATTAATACTGTGCATCAAGAATAATTCTATTGCGTTTTAGGTTGCCTATACCTCTAGCACGTGCAAGATCTTGCTTAGCTTTCATAAATGCTAAAATATCTGCATCCGCCTCTTTATCGCCGGTCATGGGAATCGATTTTTGCTGGATTTGCTTCCTGATGGAGATTAAATAATTTCATTGCATCTATCAACCCATCATTAATCGGACTCATTTATTCATTTACAAATTTACTTCTTAAAGGTCTAACCTGGTCATCTCACTTGAACGTGTATAACTATCTAGAATTTCATGTAAATTTCTTGAGGAATTAGCAGTTCTTTCATGACTCTTGACTTCTTTATTTTTTGGCGAATAGCCGTGCGTATAACTATCCATAAACTCCTGTGAATTTCTGGAAGAACCGGCATTTCTTTCGTTGCTCCTTGCTTCCTTACTTCTCGGTTGATAGTCGTGCTTATTAGGTGTTGGTGTTCTCCAGACAGAACGTGATTTAGGAGGGGGCTATAAACGATGAGAATGGTATATTTAGAAATCGAGAGAGTAAAGAGAATAATTTATGACATGGTCTAAAAGTTTAAGCCGTTTAATTTGATATTGATAGCATCAATACGTTAAGAATATTGAAGGAATCTCCGTTGAAAATAAAATTTAAGTAAGCTAGTAGAACTGCCATTGCATGGTAATATTCATCACTAACTTCCACAGGCTGTTCCTGTTGAATTCCTTGAGATTGTGTCTGTTTCTGCCACCACACCTCGAAATCTTGCTGTAATTTCAATCTAGCTTTGTCTAATAGATGTTGTAAATGCTCAATTTCGGTTTTCAGTACCTTCAGATGGCCAAATATATCCTTATATCTATCATCATTAAAGAAAACAGTGTTAGTCTTATTGTATATGATTATTTTCTGCACAACGAAAGTTATCTTTTCCGCGATGAAGAAGGGATATGTACCGCGATTTTTCAGCCTGTAATTTATCGCGTAGAAACTGCTCCTGATCTTCCAAATCTGCACTATTTATCTCACGACCATTCAATCCTAATTCCCGTAAATAAATGATTATTACTCTCTGATCAACACTAATTAAGTATTTTCATTTAGAGAAGATAATTCACTATTTACCTTTCATGGCTTTTCCGATTCTATATTTTTCAATTTGTTGCTTACAGTTGTCTTTTAAGGTCAGACAATTCATTAATCAAGTATTAAAACTTATTCTATCATCATGACAGCGCACTTCAGAGGCCAACATTTATTAAATTAATGCCTAAAATATCTACGTAGAAGACTTACTTATCTGCATTTTACAATCATTTAATGCTTCTCCTTGAGCTTTAGCTTCGGCATATCTAGTTATAGAAATCAATATGTCATATACTGTAAGCAGAGTAAAAATAAAAATTTCAATAGTATCATTCTATAGCGTTAATTTTTACTCTCTATCTTAATTACTTTTGTTTCAATATTCGTTTCTTGTCATCAATAGCAGAGTTATTAGCGTAATCTCGACGGAAAATGTCAAATGCTTCTTGTCTTCCTTTCGACATGTCTCCTACATAAAAGGCGGATAAAATGAAGAGATTTTAGAGATTAAAATTTTCTAATCATGTAGTATGTCGTTTATTAACTTTACAGTTTAAGCTAGGAAATAGAATTATCGACAATTAATTCGTGCAAAGGCTAGAGATCAATCATCGTACCACTACTAGTTGATGAAAGTTACGCTGTACTACTACAGAAGTTGAGCGACATATCGCAGCTATAGATGAAATGCAACAAATCGGAATGATAATTTTACCGTATATCCGGTTATGCCTTGGCTCCGCTTGCTTTTCGTTCGATGGCGACCTTTCATGTTTAGTCTCTTTTCGATAGCTTGCACGGGACTCCTCGTGGTGATACTGTTTTGTATCTAGAGATTTCGATTGCGTTATTCTACTATCTCGTGGACTTGTATCGCTTTCAATTTTTGTTTTAGAATGAGCAACAGCTACCGCTGCTCGCTGTTTCTCTTTCTTTAGCATTGTTACAAGAATGTCTGCGTTTTAAATTTTTTCGTTAAGGTTGAATGAGCTCGAAGTATGACTATTGAATTACTGAAAAGTTGTATGTAAAATGCAAGAAGTCGCTATGCTTTAACTATTTAGAAAAGAAAACCCGTTCTGATTGCAATATTTGACTATGTGAAAAGGATACTAATTTCATTATCACGTTGCTGTAATAAATCAGTCAATCGTTGAACTTCCTTCGATGTTCGAGCGGAGTTTACTGGCATTTCATCATCTTCATTTTCTCCTTGGGTGTTATCCCCACTATGAAATAAATATAATTTACTACTAAGTCATCATCATGTACATAAACGAAATTTAAGAAATGAAAATGGGTCTCAATACGGTATAGAGTATCCATGATATGATTGGAACATATAATGTGCCCTTTTCTAACAGATCCAGGTCAATATACCACCGTAAAGGCGATCAAGCTTAGCACAAATTCAAATATATGTATATAATTCTTTGCATACCTTTTGGAGGGGCCTCCTTGCAGAACTTTATCCTTAAAGATTTTATAGCACAAAGTAATTTTTCGCATATCACCTCCTACACTCAATATTGCTTCAGGATCGGAGTCGGCAATATAGGAGTCCACTAAAGCACGGCACCTAATAATTACAGAAAGATTAAAATTAAACATAAATTGGAAATTAAAGCAGAAGATATAACTAAGGAGGAATGCAAAACTGTCCATTTCTCTCCAGTATCAGCACAATTTACTTAATTACCTATCAATCTCTTGCTCAACTAGTGGATCGGTTGATTGATTTCCCGTAGCAATAGCTAATTCCTCCTTTAGTCGTTGAATTTCGCTCTTTAATCGAACTACCATCTTTATGGGATTAAAATGAAACGTAAAAATAAGTTAGGAGACATGCATATCTTTCTATAGAATATATATAGCCCATAGAATTATTAAATACCAATTTTGGATCGACTTCTTCATTTAATAATGCTTCGTTTTTAATTAATGCCACTCTCTGCGCAAATCGACACGTAGTAATCGTTTCCTATAAAAATTTGTCCAATTAATAGCATGACATTGGAGTGATAAGCATTAATTACTATAACTAAATGATCTTATTTTATACCATAGCATTATCTAGGATATGATATGAATAAATATTCGTATATAAATTACCCATAGCTACCGTATAGATACAAATGAAATAATCTCCTTACGTCTAAATTCTTCTTTTCTACCGAGCAAGTTGCTATCATCGATGTCATACAGTTTCCACCAAGACTATAACAAATGGACAAGACAGATTGTAATTTATAGTAGTAGGATTGAACTGCATTTTGTTGACTTAAGCAGGATCGATCTTTATCACCTGCCAGTGACAAGATAGAATGATAATCATAAGCTTACCTATCTCTCAATACTGATGTCATCATAGAATTTCTATAAGGGATATGAGTTCTTGATTTTTCAGATAGCGAGATAATAACCTGAAAGAATAGGATAGTCATCAGCAGGATTAGAGGACATAAAGGATAATGATTGTATAGCGAATGCTAAGGTATGGAAGAGTAACGTTACCTGTTCTAAAAAATGTAAGGATAAATTAATGTACTTGGCTTCAGTTAGAATGGTTCCTCCAATGTTAGATTTTGCTACTCTTTCGGATCTAAAGAATCCAAATCAAGAGTGGAATGAGTTCCATTGTGTATATCTACTTTTCCTGTACTAGCAGCTAAATCTCTAATTGAACGCCATGATGAAAGCAGAATGGACGACTTACCCTGCTAAATCAACTAGGTGAAATTTTGATCGCCTAATTGTATCCGAGCCAGTTTCTCGAATAGACATATGAATTGTAAATATACAGTGGGAACGAGTTGATGCCTGATTCATGGGCGTCTGAAATCAAAAATATTATTGCATGTCTAGAAAACAAAGTGGTCCTTGCAATCTTTGAGTTGTATAAGCTTGCGATCTCGAATATGCTTATTTTAATCTTATAGGCCTTACCTCGGCAATCATTCGATTCGTATCTCCCAAAAATAACAAATTTAAAGCTATAAAATGGAAAGAGATTTGATATTATTATTTATAGCGTCTACTTGTCTCTAATTTAAGCTACTGATATATACGTCAAATAATTACAATCCTTGGATTTATTTCTCTTCAAACGAGAGTATGAAGGCGTAAAAAAGCAAAAGACAGTTGGTAGCTATTTATTAACTGTATCTATCTGTAATTTAAGCTACTGATGTGAAAGAACTCAATCTAGCATATTAATAGGCACCAACGTAAAAAGAATGCACCAAGTAGAAATAGAAATTTTTCGCATTGCGTAGGCGAAAATTGTACAAGATCAATACAAGACTGTATGGAAATGATTGAATTCCAAGATTTTCATTCTAAATACAAGCATTGAAAAGAGAAGAAGACTAGGAAATGGGAATGAATTTGCGATATAATGCAATTTTATTAACAGTAGTTTAATCGCAGAGTGCAGTTTGAATTAGCGCCCTGTTTATACGGCAAACAAAGGTGAAAACAAATTCAATTTGCACCATTGCTAATGCAGATTTTAGAATTTTTATCTATAATCTTGATGGAAGGTCAGAAACTAGACGACAACAACTAATTAATTAATGTAAGCACTTTATAAATGAAAATAGAACGAGTATTATGAATAAAATAAAGTAAACTAAGCGTGTATCTCAAATAATGAGGACTTTATCCTGTAAGTTATGATTGACTATTAGGTCAAATGCTTCAGAAAAGTTTGTCTAAAAATCAGAAAGAATATCAATAAATTGATATTAAATAAAATATACTTCACTTACCTTCTTCTTCGCTATTGGCTTGATGAATGGATAGATTTTTTAAATGGATATTGCTATTATTATCCTCCAGTAAGCTAACTTTGCTACAGTTACCAAGTAAATATAAGGCATAATTGTCAATAAGATTAAAAATTGACTATTTAATTAAACTAAATCACTAGATATATTCGTATCAGATCCAGATTGCAAAACTACTTACGGTAGATCTTCCAGTTTAGAAGCGTTGTGCCTCGGATCTAAAAGATCGTAGCCGCACTGATTGTAGATTTCAAGGTAACTAACATGAGTAGTATATTCAGAGTCGACATTCTGAAATCGAAGCGTATCATTAATCAAAAACAGTTCAGAAATACAAACTTAAGATTTAGCATTAAATACTTGTGCAATATAAATTATAAAATAACTACCGGCTCGACTGCTAGAGTAGATTGAAGTAGTTAATCTGCCGCTATGAAAATATCATAGCTATTGATCAATTAAAACAGGGAAACTTTAATGTGATCTCGATTGGTTGTCCACTACCTTCTGATATTCTTGGAATAGGTATGATATTGTCCTCGGAATGAGACCTCGATCAGTATATCGTTCAGCCCCTCCAGTAATCGTAAAAGTTTTGCCAGATCCTGTCTGTTAGACGTAGAATAACGTTAGAAATCATTCGTAGAGCTGTATACCGACGATACTTGTATTCACAAATACTACATTTACCTGTCCATATGCAAATACAGTTCCATTATAACCTAACAGAACGCTATCATCAAAGAAGAATATATTTGTTATGAAGCTATCGGCACTAACGGCGATGATAAACGGATTACAAAAGATATTTAACATTTAGTCTAGGTTGGAACTGCCATCATTACAGCTGACACTAACTTTCCAATCTATTAATTACTGTACATTTACTTTCGTAAATGGGTGGCCTAAAGTTTATAATTCAATTTGAATATTATTTACTTTTGTAAGACTGGTTTGGCTACATATTCAAATACTTCTTCCTGCTTGGCGTTTTGATCAAATATTTTATTAAATCTAGAAATAAATAAAATGAGAAATTTTCTTCTATCAGAATATATTTTCATTGTCTATAATCTTATTTCTATCATATTCTACGTAAATGGTTTCCTTAATACCATCTGGTTCTGTATAATAGTTTCCTCTGTAAACTCTACACCATACGAAATATGCCTATCTTATTTGATAATTTAATACACTGTTTTACATTATCTAGTTATGTTCTATGTAATTGTACAGTGCTATTGCACAGTCTTTTAAATATGACATGAATTAAAAGCAATGTATTTTTCCATTACAGCGGGAACAGGCTTAGGTTACTTAGATAGATAGTCATCGCTCATCCTTACTTAAATCTAAAATTATCTCGTTTATTGTTTACAAATCCTTCAGCAGCATCTTTGGATACAGGAAAAGTCACAATCGCAGATCCTGAATCTTCCTTTTCGGTTATTTCATACGCCTATATGTGTCATAAAGAAATCCTATTTAATATCACTATCCAGGATTTAAATTTTATCAAATCATCTCCATTTGGTTACGAAGTGGTAGAATAATAATTTGAAATTAGTAATGGTGTAACAGTGCAAGCAGAAAATGATTTGCTAGATTTCTTAACATACGAATGTAGGTTGAAAGTTACAAGATGATAATCAATACTTCTGATGTATTCAAGCTGAGTGTAAATTAGCTTCATTATCAGAATATACGTCTTATCCATGATTCAATATCCAGCAACAAGATTATTTTATTCTTAAATTAGAATGTATATTCGCTTGCCTCAGCCTTTGCTCGGGTTGGCTTAATTCGAGAATAGATTTGAATACCATACTTCACCATGGTTTATCTAACCTTTCTGCAATTCTTTCATAAATAATAATAATATACTCTACCCTAAACTAACTATACACGATTAATTTTAGGCAGCCTATAGTATATCACACAAGAAACCGTGCTTAACAGCAATAGTTCAAGGCTAGAAAGTAATCGTAATCAGCTGATAACATTCTAATGGTCATAATTGCTTTTTACTGTATACCGCTTAATTATTTCTGCTATAGAATGGACCGTTACTGAATTAACGAAATAACTAGCAGTCGCTTGAAAAGCCAGCAGCAGCTTGCAACTAGTTTAATTTATTATACTAAAATATATATTGGTGGGTGTATTTTGAGTGCTGCACCTAAGTGAGTAATCGCATACAAGTAATGATACGCAATGTATTGCCTGCTAAACATACTGTACCATATAGTACAATAAATCTTTCCTCACCCTTTACGCTTAGATCGCAGTTATATTACGGTGTAGTGTAGTTCTGTGCTATCTTCACAATAGATAGACATAGTAGTACCATACTGTATATTCGCACGTAAAGAAGTGGGTTAGCACTTAAGCACTTTATTCATTTAGCTGATAAGATCTAGATATTAATCTAGTCTAATATACGTATTATTATTGAGGAGTTGTCTATTACAGTCGTCGATAATAAAAACCATTACTGCTAAGATGCTGTATTAACCGTTTAATTTGAGATATGTCCGTATAACATATAATATTGTGATATAGTAAATATTAAGAATGCTGTGGCTTACACATCTGTGGTACTTATTTACTGTTAATAGTAAGTGGCTTGATTATTCATACAGTTAAATAACTAACTATTGGGAGTAAGATTTTTCAGTACTGCATATGTAGAGAAATATCGAATTGGAATTGATATACGTCTCGCGCTTATGCCAAACTATGTCTTCGTTTTATCCCCAATAATACTGGATGGTACATATGGCAAGAAAAGTATAATTCTAAATATAGGTTACTAGAAATATGATTCGTTGCCTCTGTTTAATATCTTCAAATATAATTTATTAGAAGATTATTATTCCTGTGCATAATATTCGCGTATGCTCTACTAAAATGCGCCATAACTTGACATTAGCAGATCATGGCACTAAAAGAAGTAGGTAATTGACTCCTATATCATGCACCAAAGCTACTTCTTATCAGCCTTATTACTTCGTGTGCAGATTTTGAGCAGGAATTACGCTACTGCATGGAGTCGATCTCGATTTTAGCGTAGTAAATCTCGAACTCAAATATACAGTATATCGTGTACGTACAATTAGCACTGTTAAAAGTTCAGTTCAAATCATTGCAGACAAGCATTAAGTTGTCATTTGATACACGAATCTATTTACTCCTACTTATACAGGTGGTCTTACTGAATGCTATTGCTTCTATTACTTTATACTCGCACAGTAGCAACAATAGATCAATGAATAATAACAATATTTTTATGTCACAAAATCCAGATCTGCTACTGTACACTGCTACTGCAATAATCTCTATAGCAACGCGGTACTGTCTAGTCTGTCTGTTGTCTGTCTGACTAGGCGTACTTTATTACAGACTCTACATTATTGGAACGCTTGTTCGATACGAGAAGAAAAATTTATTGCTAGTCTATGTACTATGAGCTTGAGCACTGTTTTAGACACTGATCTCATGGTACAATAACCTAAAAACTCGAAATATCGTCAGCTATTGGTTACATTATGACCCGTTGCTCATGTTTAAAACACAGCCTATCCATACTCTTTCGCGATGACGTCATCGAGCGCGAACAAAAAGGCTTCTGTATAGAATAAATTAATAATTTCCTTTCCAGACCGAGCTCCATTTACTGCATCTTTGCAAACTAATCTTGTTTCCAGGTAAAGCTTAGGTCTAAAATGTTATGATTAGTAGCTTATTGATGCAAGCGATGATTTAGATAGTGTCTTGATTTTGTAGGATTATCTGTACTGGATTGAAGTTGAAAAAAGGGGCTATAGTAGCAGGCGGATGCCATTACAACATGGCATCCGATACGGCATGTAAGATAGCTCAGGAAGTACAACAGCTAGCTGAAGGATTAAATAAAACGTTAGCAGGAGTTCAAGAAAAGTTCTCAATCATTGGTGTGTATATAATATGCTATTGCTTGAGTTATTATAAAGTATCGTAGACGATAATTATGTGCTATTACTGTATTGAAGTAAAACTTGCCATCTTTCGTTGTCTATCTACTGTAATTTTATACAGTATACAAGCAGTATTATAAAGGTAAATAGTAAAGTGTTAATAGTAATTCTCATCATCGATATGATATATAAAATTAGCACTGAAGTTTTTATTTAGTATAGAAAGAGAGATTTACCAGCATTTTACTAGCCAAGTAATTGTCTATGATCAATAATGTTCCATTATTGTGAAACGTATTAGACAACATGCATAAATCATCTTTTCTATTATTTTACACCTTAATAGAGTCGATTGGGGATTTTGTAAATAATCATGTCAATAAGTTAGGAGCCGCTATTGGACTTTATGCTGAAGCATTTAATAGGTACAGGTTAAACATAGAAAAAAATTGTCAGTTAGACTGTAATAATTTATGCACAGAAACAGTATGAATTACAGCTATCAACTTCTCTCGAATTTGGAAACATTTAACTTAGTTTAGTTCTGCATTAAAAAGTAATCTAGCTTCTTGTTATAGCTTAATTACTCCTATGCTAATGAAAATAGTATACATACACGTAGAACTGTGTATATGCCTAGCATACAGTAGTAGATATTTGCACTTTATAGGGCTACCTGAAGCCGTTAAATTATGTTATTATCTAAGGATAAATCTATTTCTTATACAAACATTGATAAATTCTTGCCTACACTCAGATTATCTGTAAAGTCCCACCTAGATCTGCAAAATACATGCAAAGAAAATTATCGGTAATTTATCGGATATTGTAATTAATTTTATCCTAACACATTAAGTTTATTCGAACAAATGTTATTGTAATAGATATATTACTAGATTCTCTCAAGCTATTCTACTAACCCTTAACCGCCTCTTGACCTTTAAAATTAGTAGCTATCGTGTTTCTTATAAAATATCTGTCGTTAACGTTTGTATAGTTGGGATTTACGTATGTAGATATAGCTGTCATATCAGTGAATGCAATACATAGGGACTAATACCTGTTATCCTATCCCGCAGAATATGTATAAAGCTTGTTATATCTTTCCAAATTGATATTATTTTATTATCCCGCTTATTGTGCATACGGCAGTCTAAATTTAGGAAGTCTTTAATAGAGATACTGAAATGTTTTAGGATTCCTGAAGTTCGTGATGCCGTAGATGAATTATTTGACGTCGAAGTAAGAATAATAACATTACATGATATCAAATTCAATAGGCTGGTCCTAAATGGTACTAATAGTTAGATATAGCATAAAGTTTTAACAGCATAAAATAAATACTTCATTAATTATCTACGCAATTTTTACTAATAAATTTTGGGTTACCTCATAGGATAACTGGAACACTTTTTTAAAAGACGTTGATCGTAAAATGGACCACAATAAGAGTGATGGATTGCCTCAATCTAGTTCTACTGTCGGATCTGTAGCACCATTGCATGTTCCATTGATCGATGTTCGTACATCTAGGTTAGAGATACGAAAGTTCATGCAATATTCATAAATCATCTTGTTAGATAGAGTACTGGAAATGAATACAACATACCATTGGATCTTGCATAATTTTCTGATCTAACAATATCATTTGATGGATTTCAGCCAAGTAAATTTATCAGATTTCATGGAAAGTGGAAAATCATTGCTGTTAATTCTTTTGAGACACTTTGCGTGACTGCCCTGACGTGATCACGTAGCCGAACTACAGCGGAATCAGGTGATAGTGCTATAGTTGTTGAATTATTGCTGATAACTGTATTAAGAACATTCCTTATAAAAGAAAATAATATTAGAGTAGTATGATCAGTAAAAGGTTGATACCTAAATACATTCATATCAGCATATAGCTTACCTTGCTAATTTTTGTTTGAATTATTTCCCTAGGCTATGTTTGATGCTGCTAATACAAAGACTATTTTGATCACGTTTGGTTCTCAGGTATGTCTTAAGATAGCTTGATCTTGTCAAAGCCTGTGCAAATGACGTGTTTTAATTTATGTTGATAGGCTGGTGCTTTACAATGGCTTGAAGAAACTCAAGCCACTTATCCGATGCTAATGGATTCCGATAGGAAGGTATTACTCTATCGTCAAATCTCTGGCCGCTAAATAGTAGTTGTTACTCACTGAGATTATGTAATCGTTCAAAGTAAAAATTAGGTCACTAGTATCCACATCTGGCGTTGTATCTATCGAAAGAAATATTTTGTATACTCTTTACATAGCCTGTAAAAATAAATGATAATACTTATAATTTCTATTAAGTTGATAAGAAGAAATCATTTATTTATTTAACAATACAGATATATGAAGCATTCGGTTTAAGACAGTCCGTCGCTAAGGTATCATGTATTTGTTATACAGCTTGATTCGTAATCTTTGTAGCTTACGCATGACGTAATCTTGTGTTCTATAAAGCCATATATCTTAATAATCGAATTGGCAATAATTTGCAGTTATTAACCTATGGATTCTGTTAAAGGTTTGGTCTACAACAACTATGACATACTATGCTGAGCAGAAATGTTGCGGTCGATCTTTATATAAAATGGTAAAAGATGACGATCCAAATCAAGTAAGTCATTGTAATAAGTTAGGGATTAAAACCTTAAGTCTGTATCTGTACTTCTGACAATAGCTATCATGAAATTCTACATTAAGGAAATAAATTCTAACCACTTTATCTACACATAGATGGGAGGAGACTTTATTATTGGTTCCAATGGCGAGATGACTCTTGTATATTGTAGCAAAACTCCGCCTGATCGGCCAAAGATAGCTACATTATTGTCGTACTTATAGGTAATTTGTAATTTAGAAAGATTTGATAAAGACGAGAATTTATTAGATTACTCTATATTATTGATCCTCTTGTACCATTAAACCCATTCTGGAATGCATAGCAATGTTACTACAATCACACCATCATAAGCGACACATATGACATTAGTAAATTAATAATCTTTTATTAATTTTCAAAAAGTACTTGAAATTAAGTTAAATATTTATGTCATTACTTATCATTAGATCATGCAACATTTTTCTTTTAGGCAGCGAAGTGAAATAATGTTTTTTAACTTTTAACAGGTGGTGCAGTGAAGAAAGGTAGAGCACATGACAAACTGAATGTAAAGTGTTGTATTATCACATATTCAGTTTTGATGAAGAAATCTTATCAAACTTCACAACACCCATTGTTATTGATGTCTAGAAGTTTAAGATTATTATACATCGTCTAGACGTATACATGATGGTATAAAGCAAGCCTAAAAGATGACTCTTAAATAAAACTTGTGATTTCCGTAAAATCTTTGATAATTTAAAGTTCAATTTTTTACGACAAATTGTGATCTACTATGACGCAATTAATAATGCATTCTTAATGGCCGTTACCATAAGAATGGACAATACCATAGCCAAGGCCAAAAAAAAATAGGATTATTTTCTTACATCATTTAATAGTTACAATAACTGCTACAGTAAATATGGAATACAACAATCCATAATAATAAGTAGACATGTGATCTAAGCAACGTCTATACGTTTGAAATAAAATTTTTTGAGACGGCTATATCAGATTAGCCAATAAAGCTGAGTATGATGACATTTACAAGGTCATCTATATCACTCTACAATGATTAACTTTGACATTATAATACTATTATTAAGTATAATTTTTATGATACTTTACATCTGCGACTGTCCATTGATGCAAATAAAAGCGTAAAACTAGATTATAGCAACAATAATAGCTATAGAAGCTGTCGTGGAACTACTTTGCTTGACATTACGAGTACTTTGTATTGCAAAAGATACGAAAACATTTACAGCACCGTGATTGATTTAAATTCAACATGATAAGAAATTAATGTTATCATAAAATCCATTTAAAGTAATTAACCAATACACTACAATACTATTTTGTACTAATTAAATAATTGGAAGGAATCGATAAACCAGTACGAATACTCATTTGTACCTTATTATTTAAACTAAATGCTGGATAGATGGTACCGCTTAATCCTTTATATGCTACTGGGCCATGTGGCTCACCATTAATATAGAAGCGCACCAAGCCTCTGTCCATATCTAAGAGGACGCCTACAGTTGAGCCAGTGGTTACTCCACCTTCACAACGATTGGTGTGGACATTATCGTGTTTAAACCAACTTCTAGAGCTATCAACATACATTGCCCACGATTTGGTATCTCGTCCAAGCATTGAATCCCTGTTGGCATCAAGATATGCTACACCAACCGCAGGATCCGGATCTCCAACGTATCGATCAATGCATACTTCCCAGTAATGGACACCTCGTGAAACTCCAACGCTGCCAAGTATTACTCTATCTTGACTATTGCTACATGTAATCACGGTATTATCATTGTAGAGTTTAATGTCTGGGTGGCCTAAGGCATCATCGACGATAAAATGCATTACTGTAAAAGAAAGAAATTGATGTTAGTGACACCAATACCAAACGAAAAGGGGAGAGTTCATTGATGAAATTTACCTTTAGGTGTTGTTCCTTGACAGATTTCAACACTTTGTTCACTGATACCAGCTTTATTATAGGCTCTGACACGAGCATTATAAGTAGTATCGAAATGCAAGTTTCTAGCTGTATATTTGCATTCTCTACCACGGTAGATTTCTTTATACTTTGTTTGGCCATCTTCCATCAATTCTAAGATATAGCCTTCCACTTGGCAATTTTTAGGTGGTCTCCAACAGACGGTAAGGTTATTATTGGACATACGACATTCATCAGCAATAATTTCAGGCTGCATAGGGACTAATTAAATTAGAATAACATTTTAGAAGTCTTTTCCTTAATTTAATTAGCTTTGCTTAGCATGAATTCAACATATACAACGAGTGATACGCATTTTACATCCTATTTGATAATTGTTAAAACTCACAATACACAGCCTTATTTAGGGGCACTTACCACTTTTTTGAATGAAGCAAAGTTCAGTAACGGCCTTTTGACATGCCTTAGAATCTAAAACTACGTCCAATGGCGGCTCCACTGCTGCTTCATAAACAATCTCGTCTTTCCATGTCGCCAAGGCATCGTTAATCCTATTATGTTGACAAAGAGTAAGAAGCAAGCGAGGCATTACTAATAATATACAATAGAAGACGATCTTATTACTGGAAATGAGTCATGTAATAGATCACTATAAATCGGATTGCATGAAAATTAAAGTAAAAAGTAGAAGAGTCTATTGTACGTACTTGGTGTTTAGATTATCCGCCACCTATAGTAGAAGGATGATAGATAAAATCAAAATGAGATTGTTGCCATCACAATAGAATATCATATACATGGTAATGGCTTACCTGGATGAAACTGCCGCAATCATTGGTTTTTAAGCATTCGTCAATGAAGCTAACGAGGACCGATGCATCTTCTAATTTTTGCTTATAAGAGTTATTTTGTAGACTAAGACTTTCCAACTGTTCACGCTGTTGATTCGATATATCCGATAGCATTTTCTCTTTCTTCTTTTGTAATTGATTAATTAATAAGTCAAATTGAGCGGCTATTGAGGCTTCTAAATCAAGATTGGAGATCTGCAAAACATGAAAGAGTAAAGGGAGACGCATATTATTTTATGCTTAATACGATATAAGTTGTATAGATGGAGTAAAACGTTGTTGTAAAGAGACAATTATTTCCATTGTTGGATCACTTACGCCATCAATGATTATACGAATTAGTTGACAGAAATGGCTACTTTAATAAGAGTATGTAAGCAAACTATTTCTAGCTGCATATCAAAACTCTATAGATTGTAGCTCTATTTCAAGCATGTCGTTTCTAGGTATTCATACCTCATATTGTTGGTAACATTCGGTTAGCTCTCCAATAAATATTTGTAAATCGTTCACGTTGGTCTTCAGAATATTTAAGTTGGCTTGAGTATTAGTCTAGAAGCGCATTTCAAAAAGAAGCGATCACCATTGTCATTCAACTTTGGATACAGTAATTAGCATAAGTAAAATCAATAATAGTTCTATTCCATTTAAGCAATTTCAGTCAATTACTGCTAATCAAGGGAGTAAAAGTTAAATAAGGAGGAATATTAAACCAAGTTATTATCGTATTCATTATGTACGAAGTAAAAGCGGTAGTTTTAACTTCATCAAATATGATTTGTTTAATTAATGTTTCTTTCGATTTGGAAGAGGGTAGCTTCCATTTCTCTTCCATTTATCAACTTTGTTTCTCGATTACTATTTTATTCGTTTTGCAATGTTAAATGGTAAGACTATACCGTATATCATGAATAATTTTATCCTGTCTTTTTCTTTCTTATGAGCCAACTTTATTTCTATGTTATTTTTTTTTCGTTTCGCAATGGTAAATGAGCGCAGGAGAAGAAAACTTAAAGCAACTGATGCTGCAGTCGGAAATGATAATATATAATTGGCATTGTCTACTATTTTTCTTTCTTATTAACCAGTTTCATTTCTGGGTTGTATTCTTTTTATTTGTTTGTAATAAAAGAAGATGATATAAAAATGATGCTTTAAAGCAGCAGCATATACAGTAAAGTAATAGGATATCATGATTGATTTTATCGACTATTTCTATTCCCCATCAATCCATTTCTAAGTTATTATTTATTTTTTATTCGCTTGGAATGAAGATCAGGACGAAAAAACTATACCCTAAAGCAAGCGATACTGTAAGGATATCATGATTCATTTTTATTCATGATCTCTTCCACCAACCAACTTCTTTTCTAGGTTATTTTTATTCGTTTTGCAATGAAAAACAGGACGTAAAAAATGTGCTTTAAAGCCAGTTACTCAGTAATGGAAGATCATGATCAATGTGATCGATTGCGTTGTGTTAGCCTTGCACATCAACATGTGTAGCCATGACTACAGTAGTTTACCTTTTTTTCGTTTTAGAACAGTGGATTATCACCATTAACTCTACCTATCGTATATTACTTTTCTTTTCTAGCCTTGAATAATATAACAATGCCATACGCTAATCTATTAGTTAATATAGAATCATGGTGTAGTTGATTATAATAAAGACATGACTCCTAAAGGAGATCAGTTAATGTCTTGCTATGATGTATAGAATCGAAAGCAAATTACGTCAGAATTATCGTCATTGCCTAGAAACGAAAAAGGTGATAAAAAAACTCTTCTCCACGTGAATCATAGTGAAACCTTTTAGCCAAGTCTTAATGATTATATTCGTATACTTTAAAGTATCTTTCTATGAGGAAGGGCAAAGACAAAGATGTCGGAAACCTTTCAATTTAGCAGTAAAGCTTCCGTTGTATGGGTTGTCCGCTGTGGGCATGCAGGAGAAAATTGTACTATCCAATTGTTGTAAAACGCTAATGGCAGTGTTATTTTAACTCGTCTACTATGTTGCTTTACAAAGAAATGATTGTCTTGACGATTCCTTTTACCGTAAATTGCCTATGACTCATAAGCTAACATTAGTCAGGATCTTGCAAGGCTATCACCCCCGGAGAGAAGAGAATCGCTCTACAGTCGACATAAAATGTGGCTGTCTAATTTTTCATCGTTTATTGACTTGGTCATCCCGTCGAGAACTAGTTATTTGAATACAGGATGATTTGTAATTTTCTATCAGCTTGGACACGATATTGCAGTGGATAGCGAGATTAAAAAGTTGTTTAAAAAGTTATACAAGATAGGAAATAGAGCTAAAATGGACTAGCCATTAATAATAAGAATGAGACAATATCGTAGTCTGGGCCTAATGCAAGTCCACTATGAACGTCCCTTTATTCTCCGTTGGAGATTGACAACGTTGATTTGGCGGCTAAAAAGGAATGATTAAAAATTAAAGCACCCAGTTGGGTATACAATACGTACTTTTAGTCATGACCACTAGAGGCTGGAGATTTAGGAAGGTCTATCGCTAGTCTCCATTGAATAGTTGCATAAGCATTGCATGAAAAAATGTTATAGTGCCGCAAGACGTTTTGCATGTAGAACTGCATCGTAAAATCATAACGGTATAATGGCTTAAAACAGGTGCATGTCATGATATGAAATTGCCGTAAAATAATCTTGTAGACTTAGACATTACTACTAGAATAGAAATGACAATATCGTTTCACTCGAAATGGATAAAAGGTACTTCAGAAAGGGCATAGTACGGCGCGACGCCATTTTCCCTTGCAATTGGAAAATAAAAAAAGCAATGACTACATTTCCGTGATGTTCTGGTACACCACTTCTTGGTCGATTTGATGTTCTCCCGGCTGAGTTAACATAGAGAAGTGGAAATATCTTTTCTACTGTATATTCAGCTGGTGTCATTTTGTATCTGCTAGTCGTTGTTGATATTCTAGTGAAGTGGAAGTACTGGAATCAGTTACATTATCTAAAGCATGAATTACTTCCATCGTGACTTGATTCGTTATGAATAATGATGATGACTGCATCATGCGATCCTGATAAAAATTCCTACGAGGTACACAACACAATGTGCTATAAAAAAAATCCATTGGAAGGCCGCTTGATTGCTATTTAAACACTTCAATAACCGACTATAGTAGAGGGATTAGATCGAAGGTAAAAAAACACTAAACAATTATGGTATTGAATGTGAGGATTGTGACAAAATGGAGACGAGAATGTCATCACAGTGCAATACTATTGTTTTCTTCTTCATTTTTTAGCTATTTGACAAAATGATCCGTGTAAAAAACATTTCAAGTGTCTACTCTCCAGTTATGTTGATGAAATATGACTTCCATCGGATATTATGCTAGCCCTGGTGAAGGCATTTCTTTTCAATCATTACTTCATAATGCATTCTATGTTACCCTCATTAGACAGTTTGGTACAATTCTCCAAGAAGGGTACGACCATTATCAACCAGTTTGGCATGATTAACGATAGAGTGTAAAATGGCAAGTGAGATTTCCCCAAAATAAACCATCAAGAAAAAAAATTGCATCGCTACTGTAAATGTATTTAAATATCAAGAAATGATTGCTATCATTATACTATAATTTTAACCTGCCATGAAAAGATAAAATTATTTATTTATTCAAAAATTTGGCAAAGATAACAAAAATGAAATGTTGTGACTACTTCTGGCCTAGTTTTCAATGGATTGATGAAAGTTGAAGCAATCAATTTTGTAAAAGAGTTGAAAAAAACCTTGTAAAAGGTACGATTGGTCCTAATCAACATCATGCCGAAAATATCCTTGCAACTATACAAGAAATAAAAAGGGATTCTATAACAGTACAAAACGCCCAATCATTTTTAAACAATGCTTTCCACATTATTAACGCAAACATAGCACAGTACAGTATTGAAACAGCAATTCATTTCATGTAGACAGTAGAAAAATTGAAAAAGGAAAACAATCTTGCAGGTTTTTGTGTAGCATCAATAGGCAAAAGTTGAGGAAAGTCATCAGTGTAAAATCGACAACAATTTGACGTCATGATTGTCAAATATCGTCTCGGGTAGAGGAAATAAAGTTACTGTTTTAGAAAATAAACTAGAAATTACCGTCCATGTTATAAATGAATCATGGATCAGTAGGAACTGATGATGATGATGACCGTCATCTACTCTTACTGGATAGAAGTGAAACTAAGTCAATACATGGCTGTTGTCCATGTTTCAAAATTGGAAAGTTCATCATCGTTGATTTATTTTATTCTACCGATGGAATAGGTGGAATGATTCATTTTGAACCCACTGCAAGTGTACTTATCGATGATGCCATTGGATACGCGAACGTCTAGTATACTGTAGAACTGATGTGTTTTTGTATCCATTTTTTCGATACGATCGTTGTGTATTGATAGGCAGTTTTAAACTGGTAGATTCAAAGTCAACTTGGCATCGTTGTATTGACAGTAGCTGATTGAAAATAAGATTGGTGTTGTTCTATTTAAGCTAGTCGATTGAAAAGACGATCGGCGTTGCTAAATCGAACCTACACGATTGGATTGAAAATAAGATTGGTATTGTGACATGGAAGCTAGCCGATTCGAAGGAAAATGATTGACCATTAACCTACTTGATGGAAAGTGAGACATACAACAATCTCGTACTGTATTGAAGCTGCTGGTTTGAAAATAAGATTGCTGTTGTTTGTATTAAAATTACCCGATTCAAAGTAAGATTTGTTTCCTACTGTCTTGAAACAACTCGATTGAAATTAACAAGATTGGCATGGTCCTGTTTTGAAGACAGTCCATTCAAAATAAAATACAGTAAAATGGTAGAAGATCGTGTACTACTTGGAGAACATACCTTTTGCTTCTTGCAAACCACATCTAAACTGCGAGTATCATGGCTTGAATGGCCTCCAACTTCTAAGCATTTACAGCAGATTAAAACGGAACAAGTAGCGCAAAACATATTGACCAATTGATTAGGATGATGAGCGCAAGGGTTGAGTTGTTTGTGTCGGTATTCTTCTACAGGAGATTTAGCGATGATGGTTAACGTATGATTGGCAAGTGGTCCACGCTTAGGATGGCAAACTGCACAACAGTTATCACAGTAAGCAATGTGGCATTGCTCGCAATAGCGAGTAGCTTGTGTTGGTGGCGTTTTCTCGCACAGTTGGCAATCATTCATTTGGCTAATTTTCTGATTTTTAAGCTTATCAATTAATGCTTCAAACATGCAATTCCTAGCAAGTCCTTGAACGCCTCGATCGGCCAAGATATTTTTCTTGACACAAACTGGGCAAACGATGGAAGTTACCATCAGATCGACTGACTTACTACGCGTTACCTGTCCACCGTCGCCATAATGAAGACTAGGTAAAGATGCTCGTTTAGCACGAAGACCAGGTGATGCAGTAGCGATGCTTTTTTGCACGCGTTGGCCACACTTTAAGCAGACACTATGGCCACAAGGGAGAATAACAGGATGATTAAAATAATACTGGCATAGTGGACAAGTTAAGTAACGATCCATTTTTCATGTACCAATAGATCCACTTTCTCGTTCACACCAATGACGATGAGTAGAGGAAGGGGAAAAAAAAGAAATAAAAACTCTTTCCGCCAACAACAACAACGATGGTCTAATTTTCTTCTCTTCGATCCCCAAACAATCCACTTGATCTTGGTTGATCGATAACGTATACAGTACAACAAGTTTACGCTCTCGTAGGTGATTATCAACTGTATCCAAATGATAAGTGAATATTCAAGATGGTAATCGAAGAGGATGATTTCAATTGGAATCCAACCAATTGGATTTATCTAATGTAACGTTGATTTGGATGGCAATCCGCTGTCAATCAAAACCTTGGCAAGATTGACCAATCTACAGTACAGTATGTAAAAGAATTCACGATGATCCAATGTGCTAACGATCATCAACAATCATCGGTATTAACGGACGTCGTTTTCTTCCACAAATACAAGATGGTCAAGGCAAGAACTACAAGTAGATCCAAGTAAAATAGCTGCAATGAAGAGTATCGATGCTAATCGTCGCTAGAATGGTCGATAAAATGGTAAGAAAGTGCCGCAGGTTATGACGAACTTTCTATTTAGATAACCGTTATATACTGTACATGTAAAACAAATAGGCGCAGACATGGAACAATACGTTGAGTGATGAGTTATTAGTTAAATTGATTATGATGATGGTATGTTACTAGGATTAGTGGTGTAGCTCAAGTCATTCATCGCGCAATATAACAATGTATCAGTGAAAGAATGGCAACTACGTCGATCGCCAACTAGAAAGATATCTAAAAGACGAGCAATGCGTGACATCATCATGCACAACAATACGCTACTTACTTGCAGCTTTGGACCGCATGGATGCATGCAATGACAATCTTTCCAATGCAAGGATGAAATAATTCCATTTTCTATTTCTTCATTTTTAACTTTATCATGTCATTCAATGAGAACAGTGTGGATTAACTCGAGCAGTGGAGAGAGCTTGTGGAATCAGCCATTTTTCCAATCGCCAGTTTGGACCACCCGCTAAACAGTCAATCAATATCGTGTAAAGTCGATGAAGAAATGCAGCTGTTCCATGGTGTTGATCAATGGCTTGCATCACGTGGTCAACAGCATCCACCAATGGCAGCCCCTTTCAACGGCAAAATCCATCAACGGGTCCGTTTAACCGACGTGTGTCGTTTGTGATGACAACAATAGGCTTAACAATAGCGCTTTCCTTCAATGACAATCAAACCTTTCAATCAAGCAAGAAGAGAATGATAGTTTACCAAGCGTTTGTTGTTGTAACATAATCAACACAACGATTCTCGAGCTAGCTTCTTCCATGTTTTAGCCATTGAATTTCTTGCCCAGTAGAGTTATCAAGTAACATTGGTTGAACAAGTTATTCTGAGGGATAGGTAAACGAGTAGAGGGAGGGTAAGAATGCCACAACCTATGATATAGTCGTAGACATGGATCATGGTATCCATGTCAAGTGGGTGAAGGGGATGATACTTCAACCACAAGCGAGGCTGATGGCCAACCAACGCCATCGTTTCTTTCAATGGAGAATGGGGGTATAATGCCTTTCAATGGATGCCTAACCTAGGGTATGCTACCATCACAAGGGATCTAAATGAGCTCGAGAGCGATTGAAAACAGAAATGGAAAGCAAGTAATGTTGAATTTTATCATGGAAAGGGAAGATGATCACCTTCGATAGCAATGACAGCGTAGTGGATGCGATGTGATGGACGAGTTTTATCACAGATGGCTAATGGATATCATTCATTGCATGTGATTGTAAGCCATTTGCAATCTTTCAACTAAAGATTCAATTGCTTACAACAAAAAATGACAATAGCCATCAATAACACCTTTTCTTTTGCTTAAGCATGATGGTGAAAATGCCAGTAGGGCAAAAGAATAGCATAATATCAACTCTGGGGATCATCATGGTCTCAATGCGACTTGATATGGATCATGTTATTAATCTGCAACATGCAACGTAACAATCTAGTGTTGAACTCAGTACATGAAATCGTATTGTAACTATCTACTGCCACAAGCTATTCAATCCTATTTATTTAATGAAACAACTTTAGCTGAATTAAATCATTTCGGCATGATTCTTCTTATTTATGATTATTGTCCGATCAAGCTGAACAAGCAGTAGTCATCATTTTATGGACTACAGAGTCAATAAGGAAATAGCGTGCAGTTAATTGATATAAATACGATGGATCTGTCTTATTTTCGGTACTCCTACGAAACACTGCTAAGCATGATGCCAGCTGTAATATTGAAAATTTCAAGCTGAATGATCATGCCAGGAGTAAAACGCTTATATCATGTAGGAGAGTAGACTTCTAGACTCGGGTCAAGAGTAATCAATTGATTTATTTATTGCTATTCAACCTACGCTTAATGTTAACTACACTTGTCGTGATGATTAACTCTATTGCAAAAGACTGTCGATGAGATGGATAGTGTTGACAGAAATTCGTACGCACAATGGTCTACACAGACCGGATACAACATAGATTGGCGTAGGCTTGACCGGCCTTTTACTATTTGCCTTCATGGTGTACCACTTATGCAGAAAATGTTGTTTTCCTTCCTTCGAGAAGGCTTTGATGGAATAGAGCCAAAACTTGCATCAATACAATATTGATCATTAATTAAGACGCAGAAACAGGCATTTGATTAAACACACGCATCGAATGGAAAAATAGTCCAATAACACAGGTGTTACTAAGCAAGTAATAACCATTTTACTCCATTGATCGTATACTCTTCCCTTCAAGACCGATAAAATAAACAATTATCAATAAACAATAAGTAAATTACTGAAGCGTTTAATCTGTCACTTTGTCCAACAATACTTGCTACCATCTGTTCAGTTTATGAATAAATTATCCTAATCATGTACTGTTTACATTTGTAAAGACTATATTTTGGTCTAGAATGAGAATCGATATGAACTTGACTACTCTTGTTGGTAAACACCAGCTTCGGATAAACTGTACATGACGTCGATGATTGTACTGTATCAAAAAATAATTTCAACTATTTTACCATTTGAAGATTTATTTTTTTACTTTTATCGATATTTAACTTTTACGGAAAAGACGAGTTGATAACATCACGCGGCTGACTTAAACTTGTTTTCGATGACTACCGAAGCAGCATCGGTATTAATAGCTTGATTAAATACTGCATTACCTACGCAAAATAACGCATGTTAGCGCTTAATCAACTATTTGGAAATCAATTAAGCACATTGTACATGTATATAGGCAGTTTATTGTATTTTAAAGCATGAAATTTTATCATTCCATTTGAACGATGAAGGGCACCAATAGATAATCACCAGGACTGATCGAATTTATGATTACCCTCTTATCGCGACTATCGCCCCGTTAATATGATTATGAAATAGATCAACACGCTCTGATTTTAATTATCTAATTATATTTCCCAGATCAAATAATTTACTCTTGGCACTCCTCTATTCGAAAGACTTTACAATCAATTCTTTAATATAGTTACATCTTTTGATAGAATACATTGATAAAGTAACAATTTCATTACAAACTGTGAACAGTAGGATTATTTAAAAATAGCTAATAGGATGGTGCGGGGAGGATGATGTTTAAAGGATCCTCCTAGGCTGAGTTAAGTAGTTCTTGCATTAGACTGCAACGGTTGTACTTTAACATTACCCGCTTCCATCAATCGTAGTCCGGAAGTGAGTACTTGAAATTTTAGACTGTCGTCTACAGTCTAGCAGCTAATGCGGAAGATAACATCACTGTTGCTGTATTATTGCCATCAGGTAAGACAGAGAAATAGACAAGATTATGTTATTAAGGTTTTTATCATTCAGCTTAGCAGACTGGGATTGGGTTTAAATGGGTAATCGTCGTGCTAAATGTAAATGAACCAAGTCAAAAATGGTGCGACCCTTCCGTTATCTTAAAGCGTAAACTAATGGCAAGAACAGTAATATCCTTGTTCCTGATAATTAACCATCATTTATATTGCTATTATTATCTTAAAAGGTCATGCTCCTAGTGGTAATTTAGCTTAAGATTTGTTCAATTCTTGAGAAGTCTATTAACTGCATTCAATACGGTCTATTCTAGCCAATAGTAATGAAATATTCATTAATCGTAAAAAAAAGAATAAATGACATTTAACATAATTAATGGGTATATTAACAAGTCATGTTGTATTGTTTACATCATAATCAGTTAGTAACATTCATGAATACAAACATCTATTTTGATAGAATAAAGAAGGAGAAGAAAATGTAATGAATGAAATTGTTTTCTAAAATAAAGTACGTAAAGTTGTTTATCTTGAGGGCAGTGAAATGCCAGATGATGCGACGTTAGCGTCCTCAGGGTTGAAAAATCATCGCTATTAAATATCAACATGATGATTGCTGTCCTATGTTGATAAATGATATGATATTAATGTCTTTAGAATTAACAATAATAAAAAGGAATCATCAACGCAGTACCTTGTTAGAGTATATAAGAAAATTTACGGGGATTTTTTGCATAACTGTTGAGACTATTGATTAGTAAGACACGATTGTAAACATGTTAATTTCTGCTTGGTACAAATAATCCAATATTGACGTCCTAGGATTATTAATGAAAGGGTTATTAATGGCACTACTCCATTAAATTAAAGAATATAAAAATGGTATACGGAGATTTCTCGCACAACTATTGAGATTCTTGGTTAGTGGTGTGCAATCTTAACATGTTCATCTCTGTTCTGTACTACAGGATAGATTGATATCGGGAGACTTTAGAATTAAAAATGATTATATGGACGCCTGAAAAATTTAAGTAATACGAATTATCAATGGCAGCATTCTGTAACAATGCGAGCATAAAATATTTTTTTTTACGGAGATCTCATGGATAATCACTATGACTGTTAGTCAGTAGGTTTAAATAGTGAAATAGCTAGTATCTGTCTGTACTGATGGACGAATAATTGATATAGGCCCTGTTTAGATTTTGTAAAAACCACACGTCAATAACAAAATTACTCCATCACTTACGGAATATACTGAGATCTTGGGATGCATATTTAAAGATCTCTCATCGGTTACTAAAGCAGTTGTTAATAGAAAGCCAATTTTTTACATTCCGATCTTGACTAATAAATGATTTGATGTTAACGTCCTCAGAATTTAATAATGTGAGAACCCATCAACTCAAGTAATCTGTGGTCTCATTCAGAACGAACGTGGTTAATAGAAAGAGAATGAATACGAATATCAACAGGGTAGAAACATATAGGCAAGACTAATCCAACAGCCTTAAATCTATCTGATAGATGATTTAAAGCTTGAATTTTAGAATTCAAAGCATATGTCCTCAATGGTGTCGCTTTGAAGTGGATAGATGTAACTAATAAGAGAATCGAGTTTTTAGATTTGGATCATGATTTCTAGCTTCGTTTTATTTAGCATGAGTAATAATTGTAAGGGAAGTTTTCTGTATTGTTAATGACTGCAGTGTGCACCGTTGCATGCAAATTTACTATTCTAACTTTGCAGAAATGATATCGGACACCACACAACAGAGCCAACCCATTTGCTTATGTTATCGCACAACGAAGACAGTTGGATCAGTAGGTTGTTTTTCTGTTGCCATCAATTTCTGTACGGTCTTATAGGGTACACTGTGCTAATAACTTATTGTAAAATGTCGAAAGATGATACGCTTCTTGCTCAATTTTAACAGACACTAACAGTAATAATAATTTGAAGAATGATCATTTACAAAATAATAACTAAAACTTTACTATGTTTCATTAAACGCGTACACACAATCTTCTAATCAAGAGTTTAATCGCATTAAAGTTAGAAACCTTTATTAAACTTTTACCTCTAGAAAGGAGAGAAAACAGTAGTAACTTGTAATAACAATCATTCAATATTACCATCGTACGCTTGTTAGAATAACTCAGGTATCATTTTCTCCGTTATTATTGTAAGCTTATCACTTTTTAATATACTGTACAGTTGTTACATTCGATATAGAGTACAGTAGATACATTATTAAATACTTCCGAACAAGCTCTGCGACGCTAATAATTCATGATGTTTAATATGCACAAGATGAGATTCAACACCAGGCAAAGAGTCGAGGCAGCAGTAGACGAGGCTGATACAGCGCAGATTTTGGCACTGATATGCTATCCTTTCAACAGTGAATAACAGTTGCATGACAGTGTCATCAAGGTTACTTCTTGATATTTCCATACGAATAGTAGCATTCAAGATAGCTACAGTAATTTAATAGGCCATTCCCTCAAGGCTTGCACAAACGCATGAAATGTGGCCAGTGGAAAGAGGTCGCGCAAATTGTCCTTATCTGGCAAGAAAACCGATAGAAAAATTCAGATTACGAAATTAATAAGCTTGATACAATACCATTTCAAGATAATTACTCCACTAAATCTCGAATGCTGAATTATTTAGGATAATTGTGATTATTATTTGTAAAATTATTGGCTGAGTCAACTTGACCTAGAAGTATCACACTACTGTAAATGTACTGGGATCAACAGTTGTATTGGACACCTATGAACATCCAGTACTAGTGTTAACCATGTGCTAGCATGTATTTACTGTCATTCAAAGGTAGAAAAGAGTGATATCAAGCATGTGCCATTTTGATCAGTTGTCAATTCTCAACATTGATATGTTTCAGTCCCGAAAGATGGTATAAATTAGAAGAGTATCATCATTTCAATAGGTACGGCTTGATACACTTTAACAATTTCTTTTCTGGAAACTTTGATGACGCATCCATGTAGATACATGTAGAAGATGCTTCTTCATGTAGTCCAACGTCATGTTGCAGGTGCAGAAGTTTATCTAATCTAGAGAACAAATGGATTACTTACCAGCTTACTTTAGTTGGCGTCATTGCATTTCAAACGTCGTGAGTGCCATTCCGTTATAAATCCTTGCTGCAATCATCGCTATTCAATCTCTGGGAATAATTTAGCCTGCAGGTCGGGGCTTGAACCATAAGGGCATTCACATGACTCTCATTCAATCCATCCAACGCATCCATTCCATCATGGATTACCACCACTGGCTGTCCATTTTGATCTTTTTATCCAATCTGCCGTATACTATGCGCTATTAGCATTGCTAATAGCGAATCGCTGTACATCACTGAATTACAAGTACTGCAATAACCCAATGGAGAAAAGACGCGCTCAACATACTAGTTGAGTCCTGACCAGAGCAGCCTTGAAATTTTTTCGATGCAAAGATCCAATCTGCCTGCGTTCCAGTTTGGTAGGCAACGATCTTGCAGTGGCCTCGTGGTCCGTGTTCGTTGCTCTTAAATCGATCGAACGAGTAGGTGAAGCTTACAGTACAGTCACAGTCGGTAATCCACTTATCCACTACTGCTACAGTGTACAGTATACAGCATGCAGTACAGTACAGTACTGTACTATACACGTACGGTACAGTACACTGTACTTCAACTGAGTCAATCGTTCTTTTTCCAGTACAGTACTATACACGTACGGTACAGTACACTGTACTGTACAGTACTGTACTGTATGTGCAAATACTGTACTGTACTTCAACTGAGTCAATCGTTCTTTTTCCAGTACGGTACAGTATCTAACCTTTTAGGCGAAATATCTTTACTCGTGAACGTGGTAGATTAATTATTGCAATTGCATCAAATTCTAATGATAAGAGGCATATCATATACGAAGCTGCATGCCTACAATCATAAAAGTTTAGCATCAATAGACCTACAGTACAGTACAGTACAGTACAGTACAGTACCGTCAACTAATCAACTACTGCTACAGTGTACAGTATACAGCATCCTGTACAGTACTGTACACTGTACACTGTGCAGTACCTTCAACTGTACCGTACCGTAAACTATTGCTACAGTGTACAATACATATTATCCGTACTGTACTGTACTTTACACTGTACTGCTACAGTGTACAATGTACAGTAGGCCGTGTTATGTACTGTAAACTGTACACTGTACAGGACCATAAACTGAGTCAATCGTTGCTTTTACATGGCGTTGTACAGTGTACACTATCGACTATCAAGTAACGTATGTACACTTGTATCTTAGTATGGTTCACGTCATCTCTTCTTCTGCAGCACTACAGTACATACTGTACAGTACAGTACTATTCTTCTGGCATCATTCGGTAAGTACTGTACTGTACTCTACTGTGTGCCATACTGTAACCATGGGTGACGACCACTGTAGTGTCAGACTGCCAGTACTATACTGTACACTGGACATGACAGGACAGTACCAGACAATTGTTGACACTACCCCCAGTAGTAACGTAATCCTACAGACTACTGACTCATACACTGAATAGTAAACAACGATAACTGAGAACGTCAGTCAAAATACGCCATCGTTACCCTGGCAACGCCTGTACACAATGTAATCAGCAAAGCAGTAATATTCAGCATCGTTACCGTGGTGTTGCTTCAATATTCACAAAATTGCCAATTAGCAACACTGTTATTAGGCGTACTTGCCTACCGTCGTCCACTTTTACAGTTGGCAACATTCAAAGCAACCTTTTCTACTTTCTTGACGCAATATTATCCTCTATTGCAGCAAAATTACATCTTGCGATTGCTTGTAACCACACCACAACTTGGAATTTGCATCGACAAGCGTAACATTATTATCTTACAAAGATGGAGAACGCGACAAATATTGATCCAGCAGAATCAACCGAAATATTAACAGCAACATCTTACTTGATGAAAACGAGTACCAAGTCCAAGACAAGCTTGTAAGTAAACCAATAGAAAAGGAAGCGCTATATATTACTAAACTTTTTGTGACTAGCCTTGCAGTAGCTTGAAAAACGTTTCCATAAATCAACGATCAATTTCCAAGCTCTAATTTTAAACATTATTCCACTTCTTATCGCTCAAATAAATTTACCTATTCAATCGAAAAATAGTTATATAATCGATAAACCTGATTTTTTAAAGTCATAGTATTTTGTCTTTTAAGTTAGATATCGAATATGAGATTATTTTGGCCATCAATCTTTTCAATATATTCAATGATTATTCACTATTTTCCAGATATGAACACTTAAGTGCTATACTAATGAAAGTATTAAACGAAAGACCCGAAAATCCTGTGGGTATGTGATACATGCATTAGAAATACTCGTCGTTAACACCAATATCATTCTAGGCAATTTGTATGAATTTATCGTTATATCATTCATACCAAGTATAAATGTATCCGTAATGACATTGATTTATAGTCATGTGTTAATATTGTCTACTAAGCATGACAACATGAAAGTAAAACATAATCTATTTCTTCACTCCTACATACCATCAGGCTCATAAATAATTTTTATTTTCAAAATAGATATTTTGGAGGATATGTCCCGAAATATCAAGAAATCAAAATTTATCGTTCCAAATGATACTATCCAAGATGAAAGTCTCCTTTCACCGGCAGTAGATCTTGCTGATCAACAGAAAGCATTGTTTGAGGTAACTTTTTATCGCAATACATTCGATTTTTTGATTTACAACACCCTGTAAACGTAAACCCTCCACTCTATGAATTAGGTAAGAACTGAAGAAGGAGAAGATATGCCTCCTATCCCTGATGATGATCAAGATTTGCCACTTCCAGATTTGATGGATATTGCTCATTACTTTGAACAAGCAGGAGTAAGTATGATGGTTCATTTAAATAATGCAAATCTTATAATTACAAGTATTAATGGAGATATTTTGCGCATGGATAGGTTGGTCTGTCACAAATGGAAGTTTATAGGGTCTTTCTTGCATTGAAGACTTTAGCTGAAAATTATCCCTTACAAACTGTTCGCTTTTGGGGTAACAAAAAACCTAAAGCAAAATGATACTGTTTAATTGATGATAAAGTTGACCTAATTTTATTATTGTAGGTAAAATTATCGGCCTTCATGGCAATTACTACATAGCTGAAACTCAGTATCGAGAGGGAGAAGATGATGATGAAGACGACTTGGAAGATGTAATTCATAGAACTATTGAATGCTATTAAAGATGCAAATATTTAAGGTTATATTTGGGGTTAAATTAAATCTTTTTTATCTTCACTCAGGAGGAAATTGAGGAAGACGATAGAGGAGATGAAAGCGAAAATGGTAAATAGTCAAAGAAATTATTTAGAATTCAGTATTTCTCAAATTTAAATAGTAAATTTTTTAATCTAAGCCGTGTTCTGTACTGCATTAAAGGATCTGACGAAGAAGATGAAGATGAATTGCCTAAATCAAACTATAAACCACCTCCTACTATTCCACGTGAAGACAATCGTACGGGTGCCAACAAATATATCTACTTCGTCTGTAGTGAACGTAAGTAAAAAATCAACTTTGTAATTTTCCGCTAAATCAGTACGTAAATATCAACTTTCTTGCCAATTACTGATAACTGCGTCACTAAATGAGCGAAATGTTATACAATCTTTAACAGCTGGTAAACCGTGGGTAAAACTACCGCATGTAACTCCTACTCAGATAGATATAGCACGAAATATAAAGAAATTCTTTACTGGCAAGTTAGATGCACCGGTATGTATTAGAATGATTGCTAAAAATGAAATATCATTCCTCACTTTCAAATATTAACCATGAATAGTTGAAAAATTAATATTATTTCTTTTCATCAATTCATTAGATTGTTAGTTATCCTCCGTTCCCAGGAAATGAATCAAATTATTTACGTGCTCAAATTGCTCGAATTACTGGCAGTTGTCAAATTAGTCCCCTAGGTTACTACCACTTTGATGAAGATGAAGATGAAGACGAAGATGAAAATGGTAGTTATTAAGTTTATTCAATCATTAGCCATTTTATATCTATTTTATGAATATGACGAGGTACTGATTAATTTCATCTTCTATAATTCTACAGTCAGGGATTCGTTCATAGTTAACCTAGAATTTGAAGGACTTAGCCTAAAAGAACTTTTAGAACCATCATTGAGTAATTGGGTGCATCATGTGCAATATTTATTACCTCAGGTTTGCAATGATATCTTTGAATTGTTTCACTAATCTAATCATAAAAATTTGAAGCACCAATCTTATCATCTCTTATTATTAATTTATATAATAGGGTCGTTGCACTTGGTTCAATCCGACTGAGAAACCGGAAGATGATTTTGAAGATGAGGAAGATGATGAAGAAAGAGAAGAACCTGATGAACCCGAGCCAGAAACAGGGCCACCATTGCTCACTCCAATATCAGAAGATGATGAGGTTGATGGACGTTCATCATGGACCCCCTACTTATCATCACGTTTGGTTCCTGCTTATGCTTGTGCTGTCTTACGTTCCAATAGATGGCCTGGAGCTTACGCTTTTGCCATAGATAGGTATTTCATTTGTCGTTTTATTATTCATAGCATTATGTCTATAATAATTGCTAGTCCTATACGATATCGTATATCTTGGACCAAATAAAATTATATCAGGAACATAAGTAGTCATATTATCCATTGCTTTGTATCATTAGGAAATTTGAAAATATTTACATTGGCTTTGGACACAAGTATAATAGTGAGAATTATAGTCCTCTACCACCACCTCCAGTGCAAGATGAATTCCCTAGTGGTGCCGATATTACTGAGATTGACGATCCTACTATAGAAGAAGAGAATGCACTCAGAGCTGCTCAACGTGCAGAAGAAGAAGATGGTGAAGAATTAGACGATGAAATGGATGAAGAAGAAGAAGAAGACGATGACTAAACTGTTCATTCATACAGTACGATAATAAACTACTGTCTTGATCAAGAATTTTGCATTTACAAAGGCATCGCAGCTTTCGTATTTATTACTGAAACACTATAATCGACGAGAGAATACATTGTTGCAATTATTGTGATATCGTAATAGTAATTTTAAATTTCAGTATAGAAGTCTGTTGTTATATATAATATATATACACTTATTACGATACATTTTAGCCTCGGCTAACTGCTAAATTACTTTATGTGAATAATGCTTCACATAATGATCTTGTAATTAATTTCGTCAAAATTGAAAGGCAAACATGATGAGTTCTGTAAAAGTAATTACGCTAGATTTTATTTCTATTTTATCTATTGTCTGATAAAGTTACTGCATTCATCGTATCAAATTATATAATTTGTATGTTAGCATTATCTCTTGTTTAATTCGTACTTTGTAAAAATAGTGAACTTTATAAGTTTAATAAAGCGATAACGGACTATATTACAGTAATAAAATGCACCAGTCCTACGTTTCAAACCTTGAAAGCATTTCGATTCAATTTAAATAATAAATTTCAACTTTTAAACCTGTGTGAATTTAATGTTAAGTTCCCACGTTGATTGCAGAAAGAATTAATTATATATTGTAGCTAATACCATACAGCAATATAGACCTGTCGTAGTTACATCACATGCCTTCCTGCTGAATGCTTATAAGAAATGCAGCATCTACGATACGAAGTAAGAAGCATTTCATAGATAATTAATAAATATTTCGCAATAAAGATGCTTAGTTATTTTATTACGAATACAGCATTTATCTCATTTAATTAACAACAACTGGAAAGTTATAATGTAGCTTATAAATCAATTAAGATTATAGCTGGCACTATTAAGTGATATAGATTTGTTATCGTTGTATCGCTATAAAGTTATGCCGACTGCACATTTGCCGTAAAATATGGCGTATTTGAAGTTTATACTAAGAAAAAAATCATAGTATAATATACATAATCTAAAGAAACTTGAAAAGTAATAATGTAACTGACAAATACTGGTAATAAAGGATATTCCTTTATCCATTCCTTCGTAAGTAAGTTACTTATTTCGTTTGTTTTTGTATCATCGCAGGCTACTATGCATGTTCCACCTAAATTCAACTTGCAGTTTGCAGTTAATCAAAAAAATCCGAGTCTAACTTGTGGGCATTTATGGATTGTAAAAAAGGAAGCATTTATGTGAACACACCGTAACCTTGGCGGAGTCACATCATAAGACTCTGTCGTGTATTCAATAAATTAGCGTTTACCGGCATAGAAATTTCATTTGTGACTTATGTATTTCAACGTATGTAAAATGCCGGTAGTACAATCTTAGCAAGAGTTCATTTACTGTTAATTTACAGGACAATACAGTGGCATACTTATTATCTTCATTTATGAGTGACATTTTTAATTTCATACTATATATATGAATTGCACATCAGAGGGTCAAATCATCAATGCTCATTAATTATTATACTTATAGGTGATATACTCTTATATTGTTAGAATATGGGATAGTTTGCAGTCTAAAATTTACTTTTAATGGTTTACATGCACTAGTCTGGTTCCATTGCAAATCAACTAGCTAACTACCCTGGGTAGCCCGATAGTACTGAATATTACTCACTAAAGTGACAGTTTAAAAGTGTATAAGCACGCAATTAAGGAGATCGTATTACATTACTAGCACAAAAGTATATACTAACATAAAATGAAAATTGCCTATTATGCAATACTTTACGAAATTTTCTCGTAGCAACAGAATATTATTAATTTCTACTATTATACTATATCAGCGCAACCGGGGAAATTGATGAACTTAGAAACATTCTAAAGATATTTTTACCAAGTAAGATGAATAAAAGTATTTTAACTCTTAAAGAGAACATTAATTATGCCTCTTGAATCCATTCGCTAGAGTAAGTTCGTAATACCATGAAAAAATTGCAGTACCAGTTTGTATCATAGTTATAATTCTATAATATCATACATGTTCATTCCGTTAATAAATTATACAAGTATTGACTATCGAATCTTTGTAAAATATTATTAAGAGATTTTAGTTATTAGTACACACATAGCTAACATTTTATTGCCACATGATTGCCCATCAGGCTTATGTTAACCTTGATAAACGTAGGTTTTTAACTATAATATACCGTTTAACCATGATACAATCCCTTAAAGAGATACAAATACTTTCTTATTAGCTAATGAATACCAGGTAATAGAGCTAGACTCTGATGTTTGAATTAGCTAAACTTCTACACCATCGCGTTTTTTATATTTTAATATTTCGAATCGTTCGTAAATATTCTTATAAGATACATATTTACATTAAAAATTTCTTTTACATTAGCTATTGATCCTCATCGATAAATACTAATTGGCGTTGCGATACAGCGAATTGATCATAAGGTACTCAAAGAGTACGATAAAAATGAGTAAAACTTATCGTAATCGCCTCGAAGAGTTTGTAAGTAAACTTATCTTCGGTTCTATATACATTAAGTCAATTTGGCTATATTTATTTTTTTGACGTATTAATGACTGCTTATATCTCAGCCAAGGTTTGCTTAACTTATTTAAGAGCCTTATCAAATCGTCAACAATTACAATTTAATAATAGTACTTAATGCCTTAAATTAAAAACTTGCTTAACTATTATATACATAATCAATTATCCCCGGTAATTACTATCCAAGACCGTGCTCTTTTATGGTGTATTATTCTTATTACTATTCATTAATTTTAGTAAATGTCATGTAGCTAAAAGTTAGCTACTATGAAATTTTTGAATGTAGCACCATGTCCTCAATATTTACCTGAAATATATGAGGGAATGTTTTCTAACAGTGTCATGTAGTATCACGTAGTAGCTTATCACTAGAAACATACTGTAATATAGAGTTTTACAATGAGCTATCCCGTACCAAATATGTTAGAAGAAATAATACCGTTTATTGTCTACATGATTTACTAGAATCGTAAATAAGTTAGTCAGCTATAGTTGCAAATAATGTATGATAATAACTTAATAATTAGAGTTTAGCAAGGATTAAATTTATTATAGTATTTTCTCTTACGTTGGTTGAGTTCCCATGAACTGACGTTATTCGATCTTTTCCAACGCTATTCAGTAAAACCTAGAGGAATATATTATCTTATATTTACCTATAAGTATTATTTATTTAAATCCTAAATATTCATAAACATACCGTTGATAAATTATAAATAATACTGTCACTGTCAAGTCTATGTCATGAGCTATCTCCGTTCTATTATATCTCGTATTAAAAGCAAACTGTCGTTGATGGAATTGCACAGCAAATCATAGTGTAATACGTGTGTAATCGCGTGATTAGGGTTTGATTGATGCTTTTTTTACAGCGGATGCAAGACAAGATACGAGTTAGCTACCTCCATTTATACAAGTTTTCATTATACTAAAATAGAACAATTACTATTCTGGTTTCGACAGAGTAATAATTACTGTAAGCGTCATAATCTTTATTAATTGTAAATAAAATACATATAAATAAGAGGGAGATTTATCAAATAATTTATATATATTGTTAACAGCGGATTTTAAGTAACATAATAATTAATTATATTATTATTCACTTAAAATATTTTTCCCTTGCATAGTGAATAAGTTTTCTTTATTAACAGATAAAATTGTAGTCCTATCTTAATTTTGGCATCGTTATGGCTGTCGCACCTTCTATTAAATTCGTTTCGGTTGCAATGTTCTGCCTCCTGCCGTTATTTGATAAGGTATCTTCGATAGTCGTTGCATTCAATTGATCTTCTTCCATATTATATTTTATATGTACTATCTGTTAATTGCATAATATATTAGAAATATAAAACATTTCATGATTTAACCTACACCTGACATTTATTTGCATATCGATTTAGTAGCACTGAACAGTTATATCGTAATTTTGAATCAAGTTCTAATGAAACATGTGCTACTAATTTATTCCGAATACCTGATTAACAGAACCTTAAATTTTATTTAGCAATTAGATTTTAAGATATCAATTATCACAGAATATTCTAGTAATTTCACAAATGACACTGTAAAGCATGGGTTCTTAACCCTAGGTTCGCAATACGACAACAAAAAATTTTGAATTGTTAAAGTAGAGCAAATCTCTAATGTGTCATAAATATTCAGCACCATTTCATTGATTTTCAAAGAAATATTTATCGCGTCCGCCTGTAGTAGAAGAATTCCAATTTTTTCCTTTCATAAGAACAATCGAAAGTGGCTAGCTAAACTAGATAATCGACTTAGTCTTTAAGATAATAATTCGATACAACTTATACAAATTACAATCAAACACTTTCTACATAGGAATCATCAATCGTATTAGTATTTTGCCTAATAACAGCATTTAACATGGCTATCAGTTACGATCTTCTAGAAAACATACTGTATATGATTTGTTTTGATCATACTAGCCATAATTAATCAACACGTACTTACTTTATTGAAACTTACAGTTCTACACTACATACTGCACTATAAGTGTATTTCTCTAACTTATAATTATTGTAACTAGCTGAAACTATTACAATTTCTCTTAAAAAGCCCATTATAATGATACTTAAACATATCTAGAATTAGAAACGTTAAATCTGATCTTAAACATTCATTTCCAAAGAATTTCTATTTATCATCGGTAGCATGTCCTGATGATTCTTCGCAGTGCACTGACGCCAAATTATGTGTCTATATATGACATGGTACTTTCAATACATGAAAATGATATCGGTATTGCGGATTTCGAATTATTTTAATGCCTGGATATCTAATAAACTTTACATCCTTTATTCATGTCTTCAAGTCTCAAAACACACAAAATTACTGCTTCATGAGAAACTAAATTTTAGTATAATAAGTACTATTTAAACGGCTGTAAATCTATGGTTGCAACTTAAAGATACTTTAAACAGATTAAATATCAATATTTTGTCTAAATTCTGATGAAAGACTCGGTGCTACGTAATTTATTGCAAACGAATTAATAATAGAATTTCATACTTTATTTAGTGATTTGATCAATTGAGATACTAAGTACTTCAAAATAAGTATTCTAATAATTTTAAGAACATTGCTTATGAAAAACATTCTTAATTATAGTGAGACTCTAAGTATAATTCTTAAATTTGCTATGTTTATGCCTCCTCATGGTATCTGGAGAAAGGAAAATTGAATTTGTTTTAAATACTCATTTTTGAAGATTTATTATCTTATCGTCGATAACAGTTTATAATTCTGTACTATGCAGAACAGTCAAGTTATGTGGTTGTATTGTGTACTTTTGATAAGTAAAAAGTGATTTTCTAAACATGAATGCTAAATTACTTTCAGTATTTTGAATAATTAAAAATTTACTTTGCTTTATAAATATCTTCAAGCATCAACGCGAATAAATTATTGCTTAATACCGAAAGTAGCTCATTATATGTATCGTTAAAATAGCCATAAATCTAGAGTTATAACATAAAATAATTAAACAGATTAATTAATTTAATAATATAATGTTAATTAGTACGGTTTAAATAATATGCAGAATTGGTAATCCTATGGTAAATTAATCGTTTTTGCCTTTTAAATCATTAGACTTTGGCCTTGCCAAAAACTCAAGGACTATGTAAGTCGACAGTAGTTATTTTAATCATTAAATTTATTAAGAAATAATCTGAAGATACTATTAGAATTCATAAATTAATTCAATAATTATAATGTATGCTTTATTCTCAACTTTAATTAGCAATCCTATCATCTAATTTCCCAGATATAGTAGACTTTAAATGATTTTCTTTTAAAACATACATAGGAGTATACAATTGGAGATCAATGTTTTTATCTCTACAGTATGTCATTTCTTTGAAAAATTCAAAGTAGGGTTATTCATTAAATTCTTTCTTTTTAACATTTCTTTTTATACGATTGTTTTTGATAATGTCACAATATTTCCTCAATATTTGACTAATGAGAAGTTTTTAAAGATTGCAAAATTCATTAGATTAGCTAAGAGTTGAATAGAAAATGCGTGAGAGAAGTATCGTAAAGATTTTAATTGAAATAGCGTAAAAATTATGTAAAGAATAATATCATAGACGATGTAATGTCATCCAATTGCTAGAATAAACCAGGGGTAGATACGAATATAGTATATTAAGCTGTAATGTAAATTAGTATTGTGATTGTAGACTGTTAGCCATGTTAGTATAATGTACGGTAGCGTAACTTCTATATTTATCCTAAGAGATATTTGGTAGCCATAATTATAGACTTTGACTAAGAATAATTTAACTATGTGTAAAATAAGGTAAAAGGTTGCCGAGCGGATTGTAGCTGCGAATGCTACCAAAAGTATAAAAGCATGCAACTTTAGATTATTCTGTTAGTTCGTTCTAGAAGTCTTTAATAGTAGTATTCGGCTAGAGTAGAGCTGTGTGTAGTTAATCTGTGTATAAGATTCAATAAAGCCCTTATGTTTCTAAAATTTGGAATTTCGTGATCGGCATATATCACATAAGCTTATCATCTACCT